CCAATGCTGCTGCTTCTTCTTTAGATGACATTTCCCAGCGAGACCATGCCTCTATTCTATGATCCTTAGTAACTTTGGTGTCCCTCAATTGTCCATTTCAGATTTGATTCATCTCCTCGTCCCACCTTGGCCATATAAATATGTATGTAGACTTTTGGTGCGAAAGACTCCATCATAAAGCAGTTCCATAATTCAGGCAAGAAACTATCTAGTTAACTACTTAACTACATAAGAGTGGCATTATTCTACTTACATTACAGAGCAAATAACAGTGGATTCTAGCACTTATTCAGGCTTCTAGTGCCGCCAAACCAACGAGCAAGAGCCATCGTGCCTAGCTAGGCCTCAATCTCTGTTCTCTCAAGTATTCATAGTCCGGCATCGCAGCTCTAACCCAGCGCTCCATGTGCATACCCACTTCCTCACCAAACTCTTCCCTCCACTTTCTAGCCTCAACGTCGATATCCAGGTCTCCCGCAATTTTGGTCTGAATGACACCAGTGGATGCAGAAAGTGTCGATGTCATCCGTTTTACTCTATCAGAAAGCGAACCGTTTGTCTCGACGGTCGCCTCGCCCCAGGTGAATAGCAAGCTATCTCGGTCCAGGCCCATGATGTCGGAAAGTTTGAGGACGATTTCCGGGGTGCCTATAACGTCATCGGCGTCTAGGAGGATGGGCCAGGATTCTGGATCGCTTTTCCCCAGACGTTTCGCGTACCAGTCGTATAGGTTGCGTGAGCAGTAAAGGCTAAGAATGAGATCCAGGTCCTTTTTCAACCCCTCATCAATTTCTCTTGACTCCATTTTTAAAATATCCGTCATAGCGCGGTAATAGGACGGAAACATCAATGCAGGGTGCCTGATTAAAATAACGGGTTTCCAGCTATCCAAGTATTCATCCGAAAACAAAGTGATATTTCCTTCTGACCTTGTCTTATTCGGGCCGTATTTCTCGGGGATATCCAGCATCCATTCAGGCTCGGAAACCTTATCTGCGCCGAAATGGAATTTGAACTGGGAAGCTGGTTCCAAGAGGTAATATGAATGCTCCTTGTCGACTACGATCTTGTCCTCCTTTTCTGCGTCCGCAAGGTGCTCTTCGACTTTGTTGAAGCATTCTTGATAGCCTTTGCGCATTTCAAAGCGTTCATGCTCGGTCCAGTCATCGACATTTTTGGTTCGAAGGCCCAGCTTGTCGGCCAGAAACCACATTTGAATGTAGAAGTAGCCATGCAGCCAGCGTTGTGCAACTTTTGGCTGTTCGTCAAGGCCTAACATGCGCACGAGCAAATTCGACGCGGAACGCGGGTGAGACACGAAGAGGATTCGGCGAGGTGAGCTTGGTGCCATCTTGGACCAAGGAAAAGGTGGGGTGGAGTTCTGATGAGAGGTTTGGATAACCAGAGGAAGAATTTGGTGGAAGTGAGAAGCCGTGATATCACACGAAGGGCGATCGAGGGGCTTCAAGTTTCATTAGTTATAAAGACGAGGGGGCTAAAGGCACGGCATCAGATCGGAGCACAGGTTCAACTTCATGCCGACTCCCAGGCTGCTGTCAGCCGCTGATAGGGATTCAAGTTCCTTGACACTGTCGTCCAAAGGTGCGCGGAACTGGCTAGTGCAGGCCCCGAAACTCTTTCGAAAATCCTCGGCTGCTGGGGGTTAATTCCGGCCTCCCAACTTATAGAGTTGGTTGATTACCACTTTGCCTGATCCGTAGCGGCCTCGCCCTGTAAGTAGCCAGCCATCTATGAGCGAGTGACGAAGCAAATATGGTGACCAGCGGTTTGGGGTCAGATGCACCCGGTATCAACAGTTGCTCCAGACGCTGTATGGATGGGTATGCGGGCAGTTTGGATCGTCAACGGCTGGGAAGCGACAGGGATGCTGGGAAGTCTGAACCCCGGGAGACGGCGAAAAGCAACGGCGAGTGGCCGACAGCAGATGGCAGATGTAGTTACACCCAGCTGAGAACAATTCGGGCTGCAGCTTCACGTCATGCGTTGCTCTTTGTGCATGGTTCACCAAAGAATGGCTAGGAAGGTTGCGAGCCACTGGCTTCCGTTTCTTTGGAAAAGGAACCAACTGGGATAACAAGGTAATTGTGAGTTATCAGCCTGCAATGTACAGCATTATTTTGCTGCCTCATAAACACACAAATCGGGTCAAAGTCGACCCCAAAACACAGTGGATGAAGCAGAAGCCTTGCTTTTGGACTCTCAGTGATCTGAATATGCCCGATAGCTCGGGCGGGTTATTGTAACATTTGAGAAGTTATCCTGCTCAAGCCACATCACTCCTTCAGAGAATGGCTTGGGTTCAACAAACTGCTTGTGCAGACATATAGCAGCAGCCATGTTACTTTCAACCCAGTTTTGGTCACAGTTTGTGGTACTTCAAGCAGAAGCAAATGCGAACTAGTCAACTAGTTAACCCTAGTTCATCGGAAACCGGGTAGTTTTCCTGCTAATTTTCTTTCCATGAAACGGATGAAGGGCAGATTTGCTAGAACTTTGCATCAAGTGTTCTGAGACATAGGCAATATTCACCTACTTTCTTGTCTAGCTACCTATGTTGAACTTTGCCCATTGGTGCCTTCTTACTTCTGTGAATATAAAAGCTCACCAACCTGCTCTCCGTCATGATTAATACATACCACGCTCTTGAGAAGCATCTGACATGAAACTAACATATAGGCTGAGACCCATACCCTTGATATGATGATCTAGGTCTGATCATTACGACTAATCATGAACAATCAGGTGTTTACAGAATACTATTGCCTCAAACTATTCATGTTCCTGGCTAAGGAGAGCATCGACACTGAAAAAGCTTGGTGTGTCCGGGGAGATGTGAGCAACGCAACCACGGAGGTACTCGCTGCCCAGTTTCCGCGTGGCGTACCGACAGAACGTGTTCTCGTCGGAGTTCTGTGCGCGTCGAATGCTATTTCACAGGGGATGCGGAAAATCCCCACGGATTTGTCCGCAGCAAATTCTCGGAGAGAAGATATAATTCCTGAAATTATCCGCTGGGTCCATGAAGTTGACATTTGTCAACAGAAGTTCATACATCGGGCCCACAGACTCATTCCTTTTTGCTGGTAGGCCTTGAGCTTCGAGCGGGGCAAGACACTCGGAATTCCCGTCGTGGTTTGACGGGCTGGGGGGGAATGTGGCAAGATAAACATTAGACTTCCTCTCTGGGTCGTCTTCCAGGGCCTTTAGCAAGATGTATTTTATATCCAAAAGGACGTCGAACGATATTTGCATATCTGGCGGTCTAGACTATAATGCTGCTTACTCAGCTGTTCTTGGCGGTAAAAATAAGGTTTGGCTAGTGCCTGGCTCCTTTCACGTGATGTCCAGGCTGGGACTAGCGTCTTCCCCACAAACCCAAGTGGTCCGTGCATGCATCAGCCTCAATTTCCCTTTTGGGGAGTTGCGTGTCCCAACATCCAACCTCGTCGCTCGCTCGCTCGTCGTCTCTCACCACTCGCTCCCTGTTGCTCTCCCGTCCTCGAGTGCTCTGCCATACTCTCCTGTGCTGTGTATCAGTCATTATTCGAGCTTCCAGGACTCCAAAGAAGCTCTACATAACACTTCCTTGAGCCAACCCCTTTTCTTCGCGTTTCCGCTCGCTCAACATGCCAGGTGTCCGTAGGTGCTCCCTGCGCTATCAACTGTCCTGCATATATGATACACTGCAACGATCACTAACTATCTTGCATCAGCTCCCGATGCGCTCGATCAGCTGAAAAAGGGCTTTAAGAAATTCTTCTTGCGTAGAAAGCACAAGAACTCCGATCAACAAGATGCCCAGCCCGTCCCTGCTGCTGAAAACCAGCCGACCGAAACCACTGCACCTACAGTCGAGGCAACCCAATCCTCTCCACCTCCTCCGGCCCCAGCCAGCGCTCCCGTAGCCCCGACACCCGAGCCTACCACCGCTCCGCAAAAAGTCCCTGCCACCGAAGGAGACGCTCCTCCTCCAGAACCTGCTCAAGCCCCAGCAACTACTCCGGCCCCGACCACCGAGCCTGCCGCCACTTCAAAACCTCCGACCGAGCCAACAACAGCTGAAGCACCACAAGAGCCGACGGCTAAAGAGCCGGCACCGGTGGAACCACCCACCCAAGGTATGTGCGCCTCGGATCGCCGATTACGCGGAGAAGCCCAACCCGATAATCATGGGATGTTAACTGATTATAGCCCCAGCTCCGACTGAAACGCCCTCCAAACCGACAGAACCTACCCCGGCTCCCGAGACCAAACCAGCTGAAACACCTGCAACTACAGAAGCTGCACCAGCCGCGCCTACGAAAGAAGAAGAAAAGCCGGCCGTGCCCGAAGCGACCCCTGACAAGGCGCCAGCGGAGACCGAAGCTGCGAAGTAACCAAATACTCTATAGCCGTGCGTCTTCTAGTTGACTGAACTCGTTGACTGTGCGAGCAGAAACGGCCGCAGTGATGTTCTCGAGAGAAATTACAAAGGCTTTATTGTGAACTTTTCTCCCGATACCCTTTCGTTTAGTTTTTATATTCTTTGCATCGTTTTACTTGTATATTGCATCTCCTGCAGTTCCCGGCTATAATTGCTCTCTACTAGGCCTAGCTCGTCGTTCTTCAGTAATACCCGTTTGTTTATTGTTAGCTGAGTTAGTCGTTCAAATTAATGGCATGCCGTTAGCATATTGGAATCTGTACGTTTACAACAACCCGGCAGGGCGCGTTTGGGCGCCGCAACGACCGTATTACCGCGTCCTATCCAGTCTACGTATAGACTTTATTCTCCTGTAGCGGTTCTTACACGCTCGATCATTTATCGTTCCCAGATAGGCTCATACTTTCGCTTAAGTCAACGCCAGTTCCGTGTTCAACAGTTTGCAAAGCGGTCTTCTTCTCTCGTTCTCTTTGTCTTCGCTTGATCTTCTTTTCTCGATTGCGCCTCGTCCGTTTCTCTCTGTCAGCTTCTTCTGCTGCAGCCTTTGCCGCGACACGGTTGCGAAGCATGATCCGTCTCTTTTTACCGGGTTTCTTCTTCTTAGGCTTGAGTGATGGGTCCGTAGTCGATAATGGTGTTTGGGATGGAACTTTGGATGTTTTTGAGAAGGGAGCGGCGAAGTGTATCACGCGCCAGGGGAGATGGCAGCCTGGCTATACAAGAATTAGCTTCCAATTTCCTGCCGATGACAGAATTGACAACGCACCCAAACTCCAGAGTTCGCAGCCGCAAGAACTTGGTCGGAAGTGACCGCGACCTCAAGATAATTTTGCCTTCGTTCTTGTTTCTTTGGATCTTTTGAAATGAATTCACATGCTCCCGAAGGGCTCTTCCCAAACCTTTCTTTGAATACTCGCATTACCAGTTCCGGGTCGGAGAAGTAGTAGTCCCATGCTCGGAAAGGGACGGTAAATCCCCCCTCTGCGCTGCGAGAAGGCGACGGTGAGCGGAGCTTGACCCTTATCTTGTGTACTGCTGGAACATTTCTGGTCTCTTCTTTCTCAATTCCACCCCCGGTATCAATGGGTCCATCCTGCTTCTCACCACCCAGTGCATCTGGCGCAGTTGATCGAAAAAGCCTGAATTCAAATTCCTGCTCCTCCTCCTCTTCATTCATGCGCTCAAGCGCTAGAGATGCGTTCGGTGGAGATATAGTGGGTGCCGTGACGATTTCTAGAGAGGAATAAGCGCTCCGGAGAGCGTTTGCGGCATGCGTAGCTGCTTCGCTTGCGGCTGGAGATGGCGAACGGGATAGGGAAGTTGTCCTGAGGTCTTCACGGCAGACCCTGTGTAATCATGGCTTCTCCGTGAGTCGACTGGCTTGGTTTCCAAGGGTGGGAATCATACCGTTTGGTGTTGGGTAGATCAAGCATCTTGAACCTGGTGAAAGCCGACAAATCAGTTGGTTGTCGTCCAACAATTAAGGCTACTGGCCCATGAAAAGTGCTGGTGTTACTCTCTGTGAAATGGATGATTTCATGGAAGCTGATTGTCCCAGTGATGGAGAAGGGTTTGGAGGTGCGGTTGGTTCCGTGATTGGTGGTTTCCCTGCCAGTTCATCTTCCCCCTCAAGAGAAGAAATATCCAGCCTCCGCACATCTCACTTTCATCCTCGACATGTTGCCCCTCGACTTCTCTTCCCCATGACTGTAAAAGCATGCAGATGCTTTATTTTCCTAGCATCCTCATGAGTTATTATCCAGGCTCACTGCCTGATTGGATCTATTTTGTTCTTTGAATCTACAGCGTTCCTTAGCTATCATTCCTTTGACCCTGGCAATCATATCAACATTCTACTTGTCTTCAGCCGCCTGCTCGGTTGATTGACGAGTATTTTCTACTTACCGAAGCTTCAATGGGCATCTGCGCATCATGCTTGGGCTTTGGGAGACGGGATAGTCACGACGTGAGTTACTCTATTTCCTCTATTTCGCATTCCATGCGCCCAGTTTCTGTCGCATTCTAACCTGATCGCGCAACTTAGTCTGAATCGGCGCGTCTACTAGACGATGAAATCTATCAGCCTGGATATAGCTACGGTACAGTTCAGGCACAGCGTCATGGCCCTGACCCAGAAGATCTGAAACGCGAACGGGAGGCCTTGGATGCGATCTGTCAGCGCATCTCGGAGTATGTCATATCACTTGCTCACTTCCCGCTTCTATTTTCTCGGCCAAAGCTAATCATAATTACTCTATCTAGCTCTGTAATCGATATATGGACTGTACAATCGCAACCGTTGATGGCTTCCACCCGCAGCCCCAATCCTAATGCAACGGCATCTTCCTCCCGCGTACCCAGTAACGAACGCAATGCCGTCCATAGCCCGATATCCCCCAAGCCCGAATATTCTTCGTCGCCCGTCACATCGCCCAGCCGGCACAACCGCGAAGACCGGTCTCCATCCCCAATCCCCGGAGAAATCGCTGGCATGAAATACGTCCCGTGTCGCGATGCAGGGCAGATCACGAATTTATCCACCATTCCAAGGCACTGGGGAGAAGTCGTCGTGACGAATCGGAGGGAACGCAAGAAAAGGCCGGGTATAATCGGGCCCAATGACGATGTAAACGGGCAAGAAGGTCTCTTTGGTGCACTGGTTGTGAAATGAATTCACATAACTCTTTAGGTTTATAAACCAGCTCATCATGGGTCTATTCGATTATAGAATTTCGCAAACCGAGTGCACAGCCTACTTAAGCCAACATCTCGAGGCGTTCTCAATTGCAGCTCCACCTCCACCTAGACACTACAGGTCGTTCACTATGTCCTCTCCAGCCATACTCCTGGACCATTTCCTTTCCTTTTTTTTTTTTTTTGTTCTTAGACCTTTGTTGCATTGCCATGGTACTCTCGGAAACAATATACCAGGATTCAGGAGGATATTTTTAATGTTGCCCAAGGGTTTTCTTTATTATTGTTTTCTGGCCCCTTTCACAAGGACGTCGGGGTCTGTCTTGGGCCAGGCAAATAGTGCTGTTGTTGTGAGCCCTCAAAACTTATGCTCTTATGGAGATGCTTTTTACCTTGGGCCTACCTCTTTCCTTGCTCAAATATGCATGCACGCTTTCAGGTTTTTGAAAGTAGCCGCCAGTCTCAACTTGAGGTACATAACCTCTAATAACAAAAATAATCACTTTATAACACACTTCCTTTCGTCGCAACTTTTAACAATACCAAACAGTAAAACACATGAAGACTTCTTCACGTTTTACTATATATAAATCACTATACTGTAACTAAACTGTAGCAAAGACAGTTGTAAAGTGGAGAGTCAAAGTCAATTCAACATAAGTTGGCCAGAAAGAGAACACTGCTCAAGGGGACCATTAATAGAAAAATCACTAGAAAAGTGAGAGTTTGACAGGTCAAAATAGCCGTGTGTTCGCGAAACAGTCCTAGCTTCTTTCCCATAACGTGGGTACTCCATTGGTATATGCTGCGAGACCGGTGCCCAACGCCAATAAACCCCCTTTGAAAAAAGAAACTCTTCCGGTTTCCAAAAGAAAGAAAGCAATGCACTTGGGGATATAACTTTAAGTGAAATGTGAAACGATTCGTCACACGTCGTCCATCTCCCCGGCCGGTTCTTCGCCACCGGACTCGTAACTGCCGACCGAGCTCATTTCGTCCTCTTCTCCTGTATCTTCACCAGCATCGTCCGCGGCGTCCTTGCTTGCGTACTTGGTCACATATTCTGTTTGATGTAGGGTTAGTGACTGGATATGGTAAGTCGAAATTCAACCGTTAAGCCGTACCTCTGACTTTGCCTTCATATTTTTGGGGATCTCGCAACAAGACGGCCGCCGCGTCTCCATTTAGAGGGTCTGACGGGTTCGGATAACGCAACAGCTGCGGAAGAAAAACTTCGAAAATGTTGATCATGTCGTACATAGGTGACCATGTTTGATTTATGACATCAAGACATACAGACCCCGAACTACTCCATGATTAGCTAAAACGTCTTCTTTAACCGTTAGCCCGTCCAGCTTACAGCTCGTCGATATTTGGGTGATAAATTCGGTTCACGAAACCAATGCTCGGGCTCTTGTAAGGGTATTGGTCCGGGAGCTCGACATGAACTTTCCAAAGTCCACCAGCGAACGGTGCTATGCACTATTAATCAAAAGCACCAACCCAATTTTAACGGGGCAACGCACTTTCTTCTGGTCCCTTGAAGCGAACATAGAACTCTTGCCTGTAGGAGCACGTTTATCAGCGTCTATTGGAGCTCGACTGTCTGTCCAAATTAAAAAGAAAAAAGAAAAAAGGTTTTCGGCATACACTAGGTTGAGAAAGGGCCATCAGCAATTCGTTCATCACACCATTCCGGCGCCCAAGACTCACTATTGTCATTGACAAGGGTCACCTCGTAATCACTCATCAACCTAGGATAGCAAAATGAATTAGCATTCCAGGGGCATGAGTAAATCTCGCCCGAAAGGGTAGCACTGCAAGATTCCCGTATCGTTACGCATGAAAAGAATGGACGAGGGCATATCGTACATCCTATATTCCAGATCAGCACATTGTCCACGCCAGAAAGCAAGCTAAATCGCCTTACTTCATGACCTGCAAATGGGCGATCCCAGGGAAGCGGGGAAAACAGTCAGCGGACGAGTTCAGGCAGGAGATGCATTGTTGAATTAAAGGAGGGCTTTACGTCTGTCTCAATTCTTCTCTTTGGACTACTCATCTTGTCAAGGTTCGAATAAACAAAACAGCTCTCCTTGATTCAGTTCTGGCTGTAAGGAAAGGCTCTTGGATGAGTTGCCGTCTTGCAGCCAAGTAGCAGCCGATCTGAACGAGCGTTTGTCGGGAAGCAAGTGGGACGTTGTTCTTTCGAATCAACCCGGCGGGGTAGGTGAGGGCGCAGGGAGTCGGTTATGTCGCTTGGGAGCCCAGACTCGGCTCAAAAAGAACGGCAAACGTAAAGGATAATCGACAGCGGGGAGCATAAAAATAAGACGAGGGTGCGCGGTAGTTGAGGAAGTGAAGTTGAGAAAGAAGAGAGACCGAGAGAGAGTTGCAGGAGGTGGCAGACACGAGAACCACCGAGAAGCGGATGACGTTGGGTTTGGCCTCCATGCAGCAAACTAAAAATCGGCTTAACTTATCAGATGGCGCAACCTACGGCAGACTAGTCAAGCTTGGGAACTGCCACATGATCCGTGATTCTGAATGAAAAGAACAAACTACTGCAACGATATGTGAAATTTAGTGCTGATGCTGGTCAGGTTGCTGGCCCTGGAGTGCGACATTGCATCAAGGCTGAAAAGCCAGTGGATTGCTTGTATAACAAAGCCTTGCTACCTACAATGGATGATGGGATCCAAGTCATTGGCAAAGTGCCGAATCCAAACGCTGGGGGAGTTCAACTAGAGAAGCTTTCGATGGAAGGATGGGTGTAGTTGACAGAGGCCTTTGTAAGATATGCTGTCACAATCGGTTAGACATATATCTAACACAATTCTCTTTGTATAGGCAATACCACACAGGATTATGGAATGGCTACCGGCAAAAGGGAGATGGCATGTATTGCCCAACTTCCTCACTTGCCCAAGTCCCCAATGGGGCTCTACGACCCTCAAACATGTCCATCAAAGGCAACAAAATTGATAGAACGGTTTCTCATGAGGAGTGTGAGGAGGCTAAGTGAAATCTGCAATCGACGAGGGAGACTTTATATGTCCAAGTATCCCAAAAACGAGAAGCAGCTAGAGGAATGGGAAGCGGCCTGGCCTTTCAACTTTTAAATGCGAAAAGGCGAAATTCTCCCTGAAATCTCGAATTTGTTTAAACTAGCAAGCATTGGTGAGGATACCAGGGCCGTGAATCACTGCGTGGAGTCAGGAATTGCGGTTGCCTCTACGGATAGACAGCCAGAGCAGTCACCAAGGTTACTTTCCACTCGCCATTCAAACCATGTCTCCATAACAATTGAATAATTGAGAGCGCAACCATAGATACAACGTCAGGTGATTGCATAACTGCGGATTATAGGTAGCACACTGGATAGATGAGCCCGTTGACCTCACGCCAGCCGCCTCGTTGATATCGTCATTTACAGGCAGTTAAAATTCCTCCCCCCAAACATATTACCCGCGCTATATCTGCAATTGTCGAACGCACACAGCTCTTCAAAGTTCTGACCGCACGATTCTCGTTCCGCAACCTAGCTTCTGCGAAAAAGCGTCTGTTGCCTAGAGCAATTGCTGTTCAGCATCCACGCTCCTTTTCAAAGACAGCATCTATTAGCTCTTCCATTCTGGCACCACACAGGAACTGACAAGAGTGTGCTTCATACCACCCAGTTCTGATACGCCATGAAATCTTCCATGGTCACCCCCATAACAGAAGTAGCCCTGTGCGGCACCGTCATCAGGTCTTGATGGCCATCCCGTGACGAAGGACGTGTTGAAGCCGGAGAAAGCGAGGAAGGCCTCAGCGTCGCCGCCTCAGACCCAGGATTAGGGGCTTGAGAAGGATAGGGATTCTTCTCCGGCAGATTCAAAGTGATGATTGTTAGATTCTCTCTCTGTCCTGGCTAAAGATCTGAAGGGGACAAGGGGCCACAAACGTTTCTGGCTGTCTGCTCACCCTCCTTGGGTGCAAAGCAAGACTTCAACTTGTTCCAAATCCGACGGCATCCCGAGGGGCCTTGGTTTTCCTCCCCTTCTTCCTGCTTATCGGACTGTTAGTGATGGCTCAAGTGACAAGTCAAGGGGTTGAAGTACAGCTTCACCGCCGCAGCAGAGCAACTTGCTTAAGAAAGCCATGGTCCTCAGAAGAGTTAGACAGCTTGAGTTGTGATGTGATTTGTAGAGCTATGCCAACCCTTGTGAAACAATGGAATGGGATGTCAGTACTGGAGGGGAAGAGGAAAATGTTGGGAAGTTTGTCGTTGTCGTCGGGGGAGCCGTCCAGAGAACAAAGTACAAGCCGCCCATTTCACCAGCCGCACACCTGACCATGAGTTCCCAAATAGGGCGGGAGCAAATAGAGAGGTAGAGGCTTATCTCATTTTATTTAGACACAAGCCGCATCTTGGTTTGGTTGCCAAATATCAGTCACTTCAGGGGGCAGCACTTTTGCGGCCCTCCACCCAGAAACTGCTATCATGCTTCACACAAGGGTCAACGGAACATGCAGGCCATGATTGCAAGGAACATCCATTTTGTGCACAATCACAATAGCAGGGCCTTCGTCTTCACAAATAAATACACCATCAAACTGAAGGCATAAACCCAGCAATGACCTTGTCCAAGTCTTCTTCATTCAACCCAAGAAACTTGTTTGCAAACCCATCCTTCTTTTCCCAATTTGCGTACAATGTGCCTAGAACCCAGACCAGTGCCTCTGAGCCTACATCTCCGCTGGCGTCGGCTTTGGCTTTTTCCTGCTGTATAAAGTCTCCAGAATCGATGCGGTTTATTTTCCAAGGCTGGCCGGTTGCCCGCTCAAATGCTTCCACGATTTGCATCTGTGATGCGCAAAAGCTTTGAATGTAGATAACTTTGTTCTTGATTTCTTCCGCTCCCGACTTCTCCAGAATTTTCACAACAGCGGTGCCAACCTGGTCCAGCGTACTTGCAGAGCAACGGGTCTCTCCGTCATCCAGAATATCCGCCTTCCGCGTGTTAGGGTCAAGATGCAGAAAGCCCAAGTCCTCGGCATCAAAGAAATGTCCGCAGACTAGAGAAGTCCAGGAAAAGTGCGCGTGGCAAGAGGCCAGATGCTGCAGATATTCCCGGACGTCTGCCTTCCTCTGGAAAAGCGGAACAAGCTCACACACCAACTTTTCTTGGGAATCACAGCTACCAAAATCCGCGGGGATAAATTGCTGGACGCCAGCCTGGGCAGCGGCACCAGCAATACGCTTCTGTAGATCAGCCAAGCTGCCTTTGACAGTGACTATGACTGCATCCTGGCCCTTGAGTGTTCTGACAAGCTCGTCGATGGGGAAGTCATCCGACACATGCGTCGTTTGAACCGGGGACGGGTAGTTGGACTTGGAAGTAGAAGATCTGCGCTTCAGGACGGTGATATTGAATTTTCCTGAGGATACCAGGGCCTTGAGGACGTATGGGCCGAGCTTGCCGTCTGCTCCGACGATTGTGACGTTTTGGATGGCCATTTTTCAACGGGATTGAGTCAAATAGGAGAGATTTCTAGGAAATGAAGTGAAGCTCTTCAAAAGTGCGAAGAGCCAGGAAATGCAATACGAACATTCTTATAGTAGCCCCTCGGTAACTACTAAAGCTAGTTCTAGTGGACATGATGAATTCAAAGGTGGGTTTGCTGGATGTCTAGTTAGTTGGTTAGCCTTCAAAGTGTGAAGGTTGGATGGAGAGTGACGACCGGCAAAGTCACGGGCAACCCCAAACCAAATTCACCAGGTAACTAGATACATATCAGCAAAACTACTGAAATATATTCAAAGCAATTTTAACAAATCCAATGGACTAGCAATTCAAATACTTTGGTTTTTTATTTGCAGCAGTCATGCCCTCAGCACCGCCTACCCCCTCCCCAGATTCGTCGAAACCTTCTTCCCCACGGTCTTCCTCGCGGGGCCTTGGACTCTTGAGCAGACAAGCAAGCCATACTCAGTTCGGAGCAAGCAGGAATATCAACAATGCTCCAGAGTCCCCCGTAGCCACAGCGCCAATTCCAGATGAGGACCATGGCGCGGAGCTGCCGCTGACCATGACTGCGTCTGTGATTCTGACCGGTTTGCCCAAAGATGCACATCGGGCATTGACAGATGTGGAGGCAATCGATGCCGGAAAAGGTATGTAGTTTAGGACGGGAGTCAATATGTCATTATTACTATTACTATTGCTCTCCTTCATGGATACCCGATATTCGTTTATTTTCGTTGAAATTACTGTTTGCATTGGGCCACCCTTGTCAAAGTATACGGCTCTATCTACTTCCAAATACTCTCGGCCATTTCATATAGATGAGCTTGCATCAACCCTTCGCTTTGTTGGACATCCCAATCCCAAATCGCCCAGAAGAACATGTCAACATAAGAGAATTTCACTCACTCACCGCCCCCTTTCATAGTAACCGTCCCGCTTTCACCCATTACCCTCAGCTCCCCATCTTGAGAAACAAAGTGTTCAAAATCAGCGCCTCTCAAAAGTTCGAAACAGTGGTTCGATTCCTCCGCAAGAAGCTGGATTGTAGGGAGTCGGATTCGGTGTTTTGCTATGTGAACAGCGTCTTTGCACCAGGGTTGGACGAGAGCGTGGGTGGCCTCTGGAGGGTGAGTTGCACTTTGGGCTGGAGCCTTCATGGGGTAGGCATTAACGCACGGGATAAACTGATGATGGGGAGCAGTGCTTCAAAACGGACGATCAGTTGATTGTGTCATATTCCATGACCCCGGCGTTCGGTTGATGGCCCGCGTTGGATGGTACGAATTATATGCAATCCGTCAAACGGCCCGTCCATCGTAGTTGTTATCGGCGTCCCGAAGGCGCCCATTCCCAGAAGTCTCCTAGTGGCCGAAAGCCAAACAATAGGAAACATTTTGAGCTCCTTGGAAGTAAAACACGGAGATTGGAGACGGGGTTTCCTACCTTGATTAAGGGCGACATTTCTTGTGTGGCAAGGTCTACTCAAAAAGAATTATAGCAAAGAAAGATATGGCTGATGGATCAAGGAAGGATGTTGGCTTATTTGGTGATAGGTGTATATACACACATTGAGGCAGGAAATCCAAGCAAGTATCGGTGTATACAAAATATCTAACCGGTATCAGCAACGATGAAGAAATTACCAAACAAGTATTGACAGGGGGTATGTAGTATCGATATATGTCGATATGTAGTATGTGCAGAATCGAGGCCATAAATTCATCCAGTCGTCTCATCAACAAACTTCTGAAACTCTTCCACGTCCTCCTTTGGCGCAGGATATGTATACTCCTTTGCCGGGTATTCTCGACTCTTGACTTCATTCTTATACTGCTCAATCGCCCTCAAGCTCTCGCCCCACACGTCACCGTATTTTTTCACAAATTTCGGCAGGAATCTTCCTGGGGGAAAATTTCCAGCCATATCTACCTGGACAAGCACTTGGCCTGAACAGCCATTCCCTGCACCGATTCCGATAGTGGGTATCTTCAACTTCTTCGTGACAATACTCGCGATCTCAGCAGGAACGGCTTCCAGCACCACCATGAATGCCCCAGCTTCTTGGACAGCCAGGGCATCGTGGAAGAATTTAATGGCCTCTGCTGTAGATTTGCCCTGAACACGAAAGCCGCCTAGAGCATTCTGACGTTGTGGGGTGAGGCCAATGTGGGCAACGACGGGGATGCCGGCTTGAGTAATCCGCTTTATCGTTGGTGCCATTTCTGATCCGCCTTCAAGCTTCACGGATTGTACTCTACCTTCCTTAACAAGGCGAATGGCAGTTTGGAGAGCCTGTTCAGGCGAGACTTCATACGATCCCATCGGCATATCACCGACCTAAAGTTGCACCCAAGTCAGAAACCTGGGAAAAGTAGAATGCTGCAGGGGTGAATGGCATACAGTAAACCCTGTTGTGACTGCCCTTGACACACTCTTGCAATGCAATATCATCTCCTCCAATGACACCTCGCTAGTATCCGCCATTCCCAACGCAACCATAGCCAGGCTATCGCCAACAAGCACCATCTCCATGCCCGCCGCCTCAGCCACATGGGCACTCGGGAAATCATGGGCAGTCAGCATGGTAATTGGCTCATTCTTCTTGTGAAGCGACTGTAGGGTCTTGACGGTGACCTTCTTCCGGGGGTTAATAGGGGTTGCCCCCATTGGAGAATGAGAACTATGACGCCTCTGGTCTGCTTGAGGAACGGTGGAGGGCAGGACAGCTGCTGCAAACGCTAGCGACGGTGACGAGGGTGTAGTCCAATGCCGGGCAATAGGGATTAGTGAGCGACCCGAGCGCATAGCGCAGAAAGGAGAGCGGAAAGCCATATTGAAGGGCTTCAAGTGGGTATCGACAGTGCGAGGGCAGGACTCGGCGGGAGCAGCGTTTGGGGGATGGGTTGGTGATGACTCCAAGGTGGAGAGGATGAAGAAAGAGAGCCCATTTCGACCACAGCCTCAGGGTTATATAGCGGGTTTTTTTGTTGCTGGTCGAAAGGGTTCGAACGACGTGCTGGTATATGCAGCGTAGAGAAGAGAATATTTTGGTCAACAAAAAAAAGCGCCGAAGCTTGACGTTGGCCGAGGCTAACTAGGCCGAATCCGGGTATCGGTCGGTCGACCACCAACTATCCGGCTTCAACATCTTTGCCTATCACTGCTGCCAGCTATCGTCCTCAGGCAAGACATACATTTGATGATACGGGAGCTGCTCTCTTGAGCCACATTCTATCAACCGCCAGATTCGACAGTCAGTGCACATGTCCCCTACTGATAGGCGAAGTGTCTCTACCCCTTCCAGGTACTTATTTAACCCTTCTCCGTAGTCAATACGTCCACATCCTACGAACCGCTGCAAGTTGAGAATCTTTATCTTTGTAACGTTGCACATGCGAAGGGTCAGGGCAAGATATAACAGAAGCCAAGAAGAAGAACAACTGCTCAACACCCTTAGGCAAGGCAAAGGAATACAATGAAAAAGTGATAGAAACAGTCAAAACGATAGGGGAATGATGGTGACAACATCAGTTTCATGAGCACATTGGAAATGCCTTTCAAAAAAAAACCCTTACACACCTGGGCTGCTGTGTGCTGTATGATGCAGTTTGTATTGTTATCTCTGGTTCCAGACCAGAGTAAAGAACATATGGGATGGAAAACGAGGAATATTAGATATTGGAAGAATAATTCCAAAATGTCAGATTCTCTCTGATTCTTCTACGGCACATTTCTCTATGTATTGTGGGTCTAAAACCTCTGGGTTGATGTGACGCATGTGGGTAGTCCAGTAAAAACAGTCTTGGGAAAAATATAATCATGTCAAAGGGCTAGCTGGCTACACTAGAGATCATACCTGTGAACAAAGTAGTTTCTTTGATGCAGTTGCAAGGTACGAATCGGGGTATAAGGAAGAGCGCCACTATGTATAGACTGGAGTAATCATGCTGGCCAAGGGAATAAGACTTGGGAATGTGAATGAAGAAAACGGATCGGGCGAAACCCCAAGTATGAGCGCAGATTTAACACATTAGCGAAATACTTTCAAACCCTTTGGATTTTCTCAGATCTTTATATCAAGCTGAAGGCTACAATCAAAGCCCAGTAAGTGATACTGGTAGAAGCAGGTTCCCTGGATAACAAACATATTGGATGGGGCTGAAGATTTCGCTGAACAAGAATCCTAGTGCAACCTAGTAGTAACCATAATGTCTAGGATCATCGATATCCCAGTTGGATTCCGGGTCAATTCGCGCAGGTATTTTGTCCCGCTGAAGCGCTCCAAGAACCCTGTCTAGCTCCGACCAATTGGAAGGGTTTGCGGCGAATCTTCTATGCTGACGAGACTTGATATGCTACAGATGTTATATTAGCTCACGACTTCCAGGATGGGCAATGGGTATCGGGGCCTTACCTCATCGAATTCGTCAAATTTCTCTCGACAGTTTTCGCAATATCCCGGTTTTGGGTCCCTTTTAGGGGCGGTGGTCTGTCTAACATTGGCCTTCGATATAGATTGGACTTTCCTATCCTCTGGTATCATTCCAAGGTTCTCCAAGGCCTTAGCTTTGGAAGCTCGTGTGGTCGGAACCCTAGTCCCAACTGCAGTAGTTGAGTTTGAAGGATTCTGGTTTAGCAGAATTCCGTTATTTTTCTCTAATACTTTTCGCTTTAACTCATGAATTTCTCTGCTCGTCCCCGCCTTGGCACCTGACACAGGGGCCGTTGAAGATATCATCTGAGATCTAATTGCGGATGTGATATTGGATGGCTGAATTCCCGACGCGGCTATTTCGCCAAGGGAGCACGCTCCAAGCGACGGAACAGGCCCAGTGCCAGCTTTGAACTTTATAAGGGGTAGTCCGGCTTGACCAACCGCAGGCCGCGCACTCTCGACATTTTCGGTCACTTTTCGACGATGGTCGATTTGGGAAGGTTTCAGGGCTGGCTTTTCAAAGGAAGGAGGGGGTGCCATCTCTTTGACGGTCGTAGTCAGAACTGGTTTTCCTTTGACTGCGAGCTTTAGTTGCTTTTCTTGTTGGATCTTTTTGGCTTGCACAGTCTCCTTGCTATCTTCGAGAAAGGGGCATTTCCCCAAAGATGCACTGCGAAACTGTGGCCAAACGCCATCTTGCTTCCTTGCAACCTTAGGGTAATCCCGAACTAGAACCGGTCGAGTCTGTCCATGATAGTCGTAGACGTATATATACGGACCCTTGAAAGGAACGAGGTCTCTCGCTCCCAACAACGAGCTGCGATCAGAAGGCCCGTTGAGCTTCTCGTTGCGCAAAACGGTAGAAAGATCCGGCTCTGCTTTGCTTCTGTTCACTGCTGCCACATTATTACGGAGAAAATGGCCATGTTGTGGGAGATCGCGGTCAAGAATTGCGATAATGAAGCGTTCCAGTTTATCTAAGCTCCATATCTTGATGTTCAGTTGACGTGCCCGATGTAAGATATCTAACCCTCCATCCAATGGTCTTTTGTCGTATGGTTGTCGCGGTCGACGTGATTGGGTAGTCTCTGTACTGTTATCCAAGAGAGAAGGGTTGACAGTGTTGGTCTCCCCACACCCTTTATGCTCCTCAGTTGCCGTAGTTGTTTCGAAGGATTGAGATTGTAGCTCGGGGGGAATTGGACGGGTGGTGACAACATGAGTTACATCTTTGGAGAAGAAAACCTCGTCGCTCTGCCGGTATTCTCCATTAGAATAAAGCAATAAACTCCGTACAAGAAAAGATTATCATTACTTACCGCTCCAAGCGCACATACTTGCCTTCCCCATCTTTGTCTAATATCGTCCTGGACGGAATCGAAGTAGAAAACAAAGCTAGGGAAAGCTTTTTGATAATGCCTTTGCCATTGTCGTATGCTTTCTGCAGTTTCAGCAGTATTCTTCTTAGGTTTTGACATAACCTGGACGTTCTGCTTTTCCCTCGCGGCTGCTAATTTCCGTTCAAACGCGGTCGGCTGAGCATTATTTTTACGCGTGAACAGCTTGCTATCGGTGGTCTGACAAGCCAGCTTCCGAGGCGGCGACCTGGCACCACCATCGCCTCGATACAGGATTTGTTTCTTGAGAGGGGGGTGGGCAACGCTTCCGTCGGCTTGTGAGTTGAGTGGACGTGGTCGCTTCGTGGCTAGGAGGCCCCCTCGATGAGGGGAATTGACGGCATTGGGAACGTTGGCCAGAGGTGCCCTTCGGTTCGACATTGCAATCGAGGTTCGAGGGGAGGGTACTAACACAGCTGCCATGTACTCTGTATATTATAACGATATCCCAAAGCGGGAGAACGTTGGCTGAGTGTACCTCGCGGCCTCAAACAAAGTCTAACTCATGAGTCGAGCAGCACGACGCGATTGAGGAGTTGGATTAGTTGGAGATAGTTGACAATTGACCTGCCTTTTGTTAATTGTCTTCAGGGGCCGACAATGGTCTCCTTGACCGTCCCTCGCAACAGGCACGGCTTGATGTTTGGGATGCGAGAACCATGTTTTGCCTCCAAACACCCGCGTCTGCCAACCACCAACCAACAACGCCCTCGTCTTGGCGTCGCGCATGACCGCGTGAGCCCTAACCCTATTTGAGATCTCGCGGACTTACTTTGTTCCGGTAGTCAAGCCACTCGGTGACATCATGTCGTTAAGGTGCTCGAGACAGCTTTGAGGGAATCTGCAGACTACTTCTCCATAGTCTAGCCGTTGGTATTGCGAATAAACCCGACTATGCCTGCAAGCGGTCAGGAGGTACAATGATAAGCAATTGATTGGCTATACTAGAAGCAAAACAAGACGTCGTCCAGCAGCGCCCAACCTATCTTACAAGATACGCTACAATCCAAATGAATGTTTCCGTAAACCCTGGGGGTATATATTCTACACACTATATCGTACATCTGGGGAAAGCATCATTTCACCCCCGTTACCGAAGAGCTTCGATGTCATCGATCTAGAGTGGGAGTTAGCAAGCAGTGCCAATTTGGATACCAAGGAATACTTACTTCTTTAACGGCTTCAGTTGTGAGAACTAATGGGCTATCTTCGCCAACACAAACGCTGTCTTCAATTCGGATACCGATCCCTCTAAAGTGCTCAGGCCATCTTTCATCGTCCGGGACGTATACACCTCTGAAATTTACATATCAGCAAACTGCCCTAGAATTAACATCTGATCAGGTGCTCTTACGGTTCAACTGTAACACACTGGCCTTTTAAAAAGTTGTGCCTTCTTGAATAATCACCAGTGTCATGCACATCTAGACCAATGTAGTGGCCGACATGGTGAGGGAACAGAGTTCGGATTGACTACAGCAGATCAGACACACACTAACCAGGAAAAGGATAAAGTAGAAGACCTACTTGGCGAGAGAAATCAAATCCTAGGCTTGCAAGTTGCTGCCGAAGTCCACGCTCGGCGAATCCATGGATGTCGTCTAAGGACGTCTTCTCGGATTCGCGACACAGCGCAACACATTCACGTTGCACATTCAGAACAGCTGTATATAGATCTTTTTGGGCGGGAGTAAATTTGCCAGATATTGGCCACGTGCGCGTAATGTCTGAAATATAACCACCATAAGACTATGTTTGTTGTTAGTTCGTTGATAGGTTGCGTTAGAATAAAGAACTTACACCACCTCCATCAACCAGAACCATATTCCCATCCCTGTTATTATACACTGGTTAAAGCAGCAATGGCGGGTAACAGAAAGGGGAAAGAATACCTGAGGATATCATCGTTCCTAACATAATGGATGCTCAAGGCATTCTACGAATGTTAGCAGTCTCCATAGATCTCGGCACACAATTACATACCCGACCTCCCGCGATAACAGGCACAAAGGCAGGCTTATCACACCCTTTAACTTTAAACTGATATTCCAAAAAAGCATACAAATCCTTTTCAGTTGAGAAGTTATGCTTCATAGCTTCTGTAAAAGCTCTTCCTGATGCTTGTCCCGCAATTCTCATATTGGCGACCTCAGCATCACTTTTGAAGACTCGAAGTTCGCTTAGCAAGGGACGTAATGGTTTAATTCTCGAAAATGCCGTCGCCTTACTCGACGCATCCGGATCTTTTTGTATACTAGAAAAGAAACGCGACATGGCAGACTTCGTGGAGGTCAGACTCTGGATGTCGGTATAAATCTCGGACGCGTCCGCAACGATGCTTGGAAGGATGTTTTTGATACGATCGATATCACCAGTCTAAAATAAATTAGCGGCGTTGGTTTATCAGCCAGCAAAAGAAACCTGCAAACCTCGTCTGCATTAAAAACATCTAGCGCAGCTTGCGTTCCAGATCTAGCGCCTTGCCAAAGTTCGGATTGAGGGTCTTTCTCCCTGACATACAGATGAAAGGTAAAATCATCGTTGGACTCGTTTTTCGCTATTGTAAATGAATATAACTTGATGCTATGCCTGCGAGGTCAAGAGAACTCACCAATGACTACCATAGCACCGGGTTCATTGAACCCTATTCATGTCGTGACGCTGTCAGAGCCCACCCCAGCCACCATGGTGTGGCGCGGCTTACCGGTTAGATAGAAAAAGTCCGAGTCCTGATGGTATTCGTAGAAGACACTCTTCGATTTATATTTCACTTCCGCGGCCTTTACAATCGCCACAGCGTTCTTTGGTAGCTTGGCCGCAAGCTTCGCGCGCCGGTGCGCATATTCAAGGGCAGTAATACCGGGGGTAACTGAAAGGATTTCAAACATTAGCAAAAGCTGAAGCTGCACAGGTTCAGTAAATCTATTGTACTCACGTTCACCTGCCGCTAGTATATGAGGGTGCGTTTCATGGACCGGCTGGCCGAATTGGAGCTCCGCGGCAGAGATCGAATGATATCGCCGTGGAACTCGAAGGCGTGACGGCTTCCGACTTATGAACGACTTCTCACCGTAGAATCGCGATATGGAGTAAAGGCTTCGGTAACATTGCCGTGACAATGAATAGCCGGTCGACATTGTTTTCCTTATTTTTCAAGAGAGCGCTTCGAGTCCAGACTCCAGCCCTCAATTCACTACCTGAAGCTTTCGCAGTGAGCGGCACCAGCTAGTTAGTTAGCCAATCAAAGTCAGTTTCCATGATGACTCAGCCATCATCCCTTTCGTTGTCTCTCGTCTCATCACAGCGTAACCATGAGCAGTACATGAACTTGCAATGTCAAAACGCATTGAGAAGAGATCTCGAGCAAGCATGCATTTAGCCCCGACTCCCTTCCATTAGCTACATGGGAAGAAAGCAATATGAAGCTAACGAATGACTCTGCGATATGGCGCCTGATATAAATGACCCAAGCTTCCCTCTCTCAATGCATTGAAAAGCGTACACGATCTAGAATACAGACCTGAGCAAACCTGGTCCCTACCCAAAGCTGGGGAAAGTAGATAATGAAGCAAAGACAACATAGATGATGTAGTAGCTCAGTCGTCCTCCGAAAGAGAGCTAATCCTCCTTGCCATACAATAACAATCAATCCTTTTCTTTACTAACCTCGGGCTTTTGTGCATAGCAGACAGTCCTAGCATTGAATATGAGAATTTATATCGTTTGGCCGGTAGAAACTCTTAAAACTCACATGTACTGCCAGGCATGGATTTTCGGGTTTCGTAAATCACGGCGGATATGGGCCGTCAGAACCTGAACCTCTTCTAAAGACCACTAGTATTCGAGAAGCTGTCAGCAAAAAGCAGCTCTTGCTTCTTCAGAGGAAAAACTCACCCCGAGGAATTTGGTGAACAAGAAGTTCGCCCAGCCATCCAACCCATCCTCCCAACCCAGTTTATTATACAAGCCAATTTCTTTTAGCTTAGTGTTCTTTGGCCAACCGCCAATTGGCCATTTAAATGTCCGCTTCTTAACATTGACAAATCCCGCGGCTTGAATCATTTCTGTCATTTCGTCAACGATACGGAAAGACTTTCCGAATTTTTCACCGACTTGGATAGCCAGAGGACCCCAGCGCTCGATTGCAGTCCCCTTTAAAGAATCATCATCCGAATGCGCTACCACGCTGATCTCAGCCTGCTCGAACCAACCCCCGGGTTTCAAATGATCAAGAACTTCTTGATACAGAGCGGGATAGTCATCACAGCAGCCATATAGACACCGCGCATGTATATAATCAAAACTATTCTGCCTAAACGTCCAAGGTTGACAAAAGTCATCGATCTGGAACTCGAGATTTGGTGGGACCAAACTGGGCTGGATAGGTGAGACGTCTGTGGCAACAACCGCTGCTGAGGGGAATTCGTCGGCAAAATCCATTGCCCATATTCCCGTGCCAGTACCAAGGTCAAGAACCCGCTGGGGATTGCTCGTTATCGGCGCAAGGAATGTCCTTCCCCCGAAAGTCAAGTTGAATACATGATGGAAGAGGTCGAGGTTGTCGGAGGCCAGCTCATCATTCGGACCCCTGAAAGACTCAGTCTCGTGTGGACTAACTGTAGGTGTGCAAGACGAGCATCATACCAGTATGTGCCATATCTATAGCCGTTGTATCTCCTTCCATTCTCATATACGTGGTTGGTAATTTGGGAGTAGAGCGAAGTTGTGTCCGACGCTGTATCACTCTCGTCGCCGTAGGATGAGTCGACATCATCCTCAATTTGGATGATGGTGTTTTCACCTTGCTCCATAAGTCCCTGTTCCAAAAGCGTAGTGCCTCTTTAATTGATATAAATTGACAGGTAGCTCCGGTCAGATATATCGTCCCGTGAGGTTCGCACCTCAAACGAGTGTGGAACTGAGTGAACCAGTGTTTCAAAAGTAACTATGGTGTGCGTTTGATGGTTATCTGATACTTTCAGGCTCGTTAAGCTATACTCCGTACTCTGTAGAGCAACATTAGCAGACAAAGCTTGCACAAGAACATCTGAATCTGGATGAAAGCCTGGGGATCGCAAACTCTCCACGTTCCGCAACGGGGCCAAGAGGCTGCTGTTTAAAAGTAGGATCCCATGGCAACCAGGGTGTCTCCCAAGTCGCTTAACAAGGCCGAGCCATGATCCCGGCTGAACAAAGTCACCATCCAAGGGCCCCTGTTCAAGGGCGGTGGATGCCGGGTTTCAACCTCGTTTTTCCAAAACATCCATGCTCTTATGCCTTCGCATGATTCGTCATATTGGAAAACGCCTCTTTCTTCGGGAGCGAACCACCACGAGGCTCGGATAACAATTTCTGGTCGGCAATATCAAGCCTCAAGTCCAAAAAGAGTGCGCATACTGAGCGCCAGAGTCGCATTTTTATCTGAAAGAAGCATGGTTGCTTCATTGGCATCGCTTTACTCTTTGATTTGCAGCTTTCTGTCCCCAGACGAAAAAGGATCACTGAGATATGAAGTCATGATATCGGCTCAGAATAGAGTTCCCCTTGGTCTAACGGACCAACCCATCTCTGGCCCTCTGGGACGAAATGGTTAACCAACTCTTCCACATCCTTGAAGAACTTCGTTTAAGAACGAGGTGAGCAGGGGGATGCTCAACCGCGGGTGGAGCCTTTATATAAGACGCTCACCCGTGGAGCCAGAGAGGTTGTGTGTTTCGAGGTTTAAACTCCTGCTAAACGGATAGTTAGCTAGTTGAACGCCTGGCCTGCGCGGAACAGGATCCACGATGAACTCGGCATCTTTACGTGCTTGGGTTGGGCCCCATATTATTGCTATCGCGCGGCTTTCAAGCTTTTGGAGCAGCTCGTGGAAATGCGGTGCGAGTATAAGGAGTTGGACAGGCCAGCCCTGCCTTCTCTCGTTCTTTGTCGCAAATCGCGGAATATTCAATAGGAGGCTGTCTTGGTCGTTGACTTGAAAGCCCATGATGCAGTTTTCCAGCGGGATGCTTGTCCCCTTTGGTCTTCTCCTTTGCGGATATGTTGTCTGGTTGGTGCTTGACAGGCTGTTCTGGAGCCCCCTTGCAAAATTCCCAGGACCACGGCTCGCTGCACTGACTAACTGGTACGAATTCTACTACGATGTCATTCTGCAGGGAAAATTCACAGCACATATCCAGGATCTGCACAAGCAATATGGTACGTGAGTTGTCAACAACATACGTGCTCGGTGCGTATATCAGGATCACGCTGATAGCGCATGCCGTTAGGACACATTGTTCGTATCACCCCAACCGAATTGCATGTTGACGACCCGGAGTTTTATGAGCAACTCTACTCTCGAAATGGGCGCAGAGACAAGTATGCATATTTCTCCGGACGGTTTGGATATGCAAGTGATACTTTTTCAACCGTCCACCATGACCTGCATCGCCTTCGACGCAAACCGCTAGGTCCTATGTTCTCGACCCAAAAAATTTCAGAATTCCAGCCCGTGATTAGAGCAAAGATCGAGAAGCTTTGTCAAAAATTGACCGAATACCACGATGGTAAAATCGTTACCCTTAACAGGGCGTGGATGGCCTTGACGACGGATATAATCACCGAGTATGCGTTCGCAAAATCCTATGACCAGCTAGATTCACCCAATTTTCGGGATACTCTGCATGAATCTCTGGTGGCCATCTATGTCACTGGTCACTTTGCGCTTCATTTTCCGATCGTCTTCCCAGTCTTGGACGCACTGCCTGAGTGGCTCGTGTTGAAAATGCAACCGGACCTCGTCTCAGTCGTCGGGATGCGCAAGGTTAGATGATCAAGGCCAGCTTTCTTTCCAATTCTTCGCTTATCTGAGAACATTAGGATCTAGCACGTCGAGTAAACGACATCCGTAACGGAGTGAACGATTCCCACAAGACCGTCAAGCATCGTACTATTTTCCACGAAGTGTTAAACAGTGATCTTCCCGAGGGCCAGAAGACAGATGCGCGATTGGGAGACGAGGCACAACTTATCGTGGCAGCCGGTCTTATAACAACGTCGTGGGCATTGACTGTGGCAAGTTTTCACATTATCAGTGACCGCGCGATATTGACGAAACTGCGGAGAGAAGTAAATGATGCTCAGTCGGGATCCGACGATCCCCTAGATTGGCACGTCCTCGAACAACTCCCTTATCTGAACGGTTGCGTCCGCGAAGCGATTAGACTAGCACATGGTATAACTACTCGCAATCCTCGCCTAGCACCCGATTCAGAGCTGAAATGCGGCGACTGGGTGATCCCGCGAAATACGCCAGTCTCCATGACCAACGTCGACACCTTGATGAACCCAACCATCTTCCCTAACCCGGAGAAGTTCATTCCAGAGCGATGGATCAAAGATCCCAGCTTGGATCGCTATTTCGTAGCGTTTGGCAAAGGATCACGACAGTGTATGGGTATAAAGTATGAACCCCCGTTCTTGGTCTGTGAATCGGTTGTAATTTCCGGCTGACTCGTGTAATAGTCTTGCCATGGCAGAACTATATAGTGCCATAGCAACGGTGTTCACTCGATTTACATTTGAGTTGTACGACACAACACATTCGGATATTGTGATGAAACATGCATATCTGGTCCCATACGCCAATTGGGACTCGAAGGGTGTGAGAGCGCTTGTGCACCCAGCCGATCACGCGCAAAGATGACATGCACAGTATTTACAGGTCAAAAGCTTGCATCTGCTGTCGTCTTGTTATACAGGCCCAAAAGGGATTTGTATATAGAGGAGATACTTCCAGCTATTTGAGAATTATGAGTGTTCCCATCCCCCAATCTTGCAAGCGAACAAATACGACCCGGTTTCAATATACCTTCCACAGATTCACTCTCAGAAATCGCCGGTGCATGTATGTAGAGCAGCATTTTGACTGCCAAAGTCAAACCGTCGTGCGATCCCTGTCCGAACCCTAGTGGGGTCACATCGGCCTTTGATATTCCTCTTTCCTTCTCATTTTCACACCTCTCTTGGAGCCAAATATCGGCAAAAATTTCATTCTTGCATTTGATTTGAACTGTTCTACACTTCAAATTACAATTGGGGGAAAAAGCCCGGCGTCACTTATCCCTGAAGTGGTACCCAGTCTGTTGACTCATTGCAAGAAAGAAAATGGAACTCGAGAATACTATTAGTGTCCATCCCAATTCGGGCGATCTCATTCCCCTTCTACAATCCCACCTCCCACGGTCTGGTCCCCTGCTCCGCCGCCTCCAGCATGACCTGGTTCGCAAATCTCAAACGGCTCGCTATTTGGCTACGTTTCCGCCCACAGGCCTGCCAACCAAAACCTCTGGACCACCCTCGCCATGGCTAGTCGCGTATGTAGATTTATATGCTTGGCCAGAGACTCAAATATGGTTATACTCGAATTCTGAAGCAGAAAGCAAGACGGTTCGAGGCGAGATGTCAACTCTCGCCTCCAGCGACTCTCATATTAATGAAACCCGCGCTCAGCTGATGGCCTTGATATCATACTGCTTCGAGAAACTTTTGCCAGGGTTTCTTTCCAGCTTAACAGAAAGTTCAGCAATCAGTGGAAGTCATGGAAACCGTCCTCCAAAACCGCCTACAACCCTTGTGCTCGGCTCCGTCCATTCAGGGCTTGCTTGTCTGATAAAGGAAACTGTGGACCTTCGAACCTTTCTACAATGTCCAAAATTCCACATACCATACATAGGGCATTACTTCAAGTATTCCTTCCAGCAGTCTGCGCATGATTCGACTGTCAACAGCTCGGCCGTTCTACCTCGGAGGTACCGCTTCCGCTCCCGCAGTGGCGTAGAAGGATACCAACCGTATCAATATGATCTTATTAAAAGCCGTTGCGTTATAGCTCGCTCACAAGAAACATTGGAAAGGATGGCAAGTGTCGTAATTTATTACGACGACCCTGAGATCACCGGAACGGCGACAGATGTTAGTGCAGAAATGAGTGAGCAAGAAATGCCCATTGCTTGGGCTTTCATGGGCTTTGATGGCAGTCTCGTGACGCTGCATGTTGAACCAGAGCATCGACGTCTGGGATTGGGTGTTTTATTGGGGAAATCGGTGATGCATCAAAGTATGTTTGATGCGAAGCAATTCCATCTTGGAATGGAGCATGAAAGGGAAAGGGGATGGGCATTTGCTGATGTGGAGCGGAAAAATGAAGCGAGTCAACGCACCATGGAGAAAATGGGCGGAGAATTTGCGTGGACGGTCTCATGGGTTCTTCTTCAACAATGCGCAGACGAATAGTGCGTTGAAGGAGTGCCGAGAGAGAAAATGTTGCTCATCGCCGTCCATGTCACAATGCCCTCCGCAAACCACTCCATATGCACCTTGGAATCTTTTTTCGGCCGCATAGATAAGTCACTTTCGGAGGTCGTTGTGTTGTTCCCAAATACATGGTTGGATCAGGGGGAAACTGTCTTTAGACCGCGGAGGGATTTCGTTGCCTTCACTGGGCCGGGGAGAGCAAGCCACGGATTATCTGTTCCACTCAAGGGACTTCTAAAATCATCCCAGCTAAATGCGACAGAACCTTTTCAGATACAACCTTGCATCCCCAATGCTGAGGCCCAAACTCATGCAAATCCAAGTGAATTAAACGAAGTTAGCAAGAATATTCAAAGATGTTCCTCGCGGGTAGTACATGCTCAAAGCCATCATTGATATCAGCTGCACTATGTCAACTCAGCTCACTAAAGAGCTAAAGGTTGGTCTGGCAGACTACAGAGGCTTCTGTTTGGGACCTTGACGTTCATGGCGATTCGCGTCTGGGCCCAACAGATCTGCGGTGACCCTTCAGAGCGCCTTACGCTGCTTCAGCAAGCTCAGATCCAGGGAGAACCATGGCGAGAAGACGCTGGGACTTGTCCATCGTGGATGAGCTCTTGGAAGGTTGAAGCTGGATATTTTGCCGATAGGCTAGGCGAGCCGAGACCTCGGATGTGGATGCCACATAAAGTTTAGCGCGCTCCGCTCTTTCTTGAGAAGCTTGCCTTTATCCGCGGCGTCCCATTGGTCAGCTCCCGCGCCCTTTCCCACCCCGCCATCCCGGATCCAATCAGAGCCGGCTTATTCGGCACTTCTGCGCCAAGGCCACGGGAGATGGTGGGGGATCGGGCGATAAAAGCGGCCACGATTGGCGGGGTTAAGCGGCATATCAGGGCATGTTTGGCTGGCGATCGGTCAATTTTCCCTTCCCCGTCCGTACTTTTTCGTCAGATCTCGCAACAAGAGGACTAACTTCAGAGGACAAGGTTGCTGAGCGAGTGCCACGAAATATCACCGTGAGCCGAGATCGAAACCATTCTTCTTGTTTTCGGCGCATAGAAACTCTGACTCTGATCCTTCCGCATGGTGAGTCAAGCTTGCTGAGAAATCAAACATCGACCTCGAAATACGGGTATATATAACCCGCGATTACATCCCAGTTGAATAGGGAGTTCTCATACAGCAACTCCCGAATCACCTCATAACTTCTGGACTACGTTTGCTTCTAGCCACCACCACCATGGGAAAATCACTGGTATACCCCAAGCGGGAGAGCAATACGATGAACCGGTATAAGCATCGCGGTAAGAATGGCCTTTGGCCTACTCCATAGTTTGGAATGGGAGTCTGACATTGCTTCAACAATAGGAACGTACGATCTTGGCCCTATCCATTCGATTGTCAACAGCGCGCCTGTTCTACATGTGTCTTTCGCCCCTAGTCCAGATGATCCATTTCCAGCCATTCTTCCCATGATCGGCCAGATGGGATCGTTCGATTATCCCTCGTCTGGCCTGGGCGATCCCCTTGACTGCTATCTCCATGGATACGTCAGCTCCCGAATCATGAACCTGGCTCGCGCAAGCAATGGTGAAGGACTCCCTGTTTGCATCGCCGCCACTCATGTTGACGGCTTAATCCTCTCCCTGACTCCCAATTCGCACAGTTACAACTACCGCTCCGCTGTGTTGCACGGATACGCAACCCTCGTGACGGGCGAGGAGGAAAAGATTTGGGCGATGAAAATGATCACCAACGCTGTGGTCCCTCAGCGATGGGAGCATACCCGTATCCCACCGGATGGAGCAGAAATGCAATCTACCACCATTCTCAAAGTCAGAATCGTCGACGGCAGCGGGAAGATCAGAGATGGAGGGGTTTCTGACGAGAAGAAGGATACTGGAAAGAGCGAAGTCACGGAAAAGGTCTGGACCGGTGTCGTCCCTGTGTGGCAGACATTCGGGGAGCCTCTGCCAGATAAGTTGAACAAGGTCAAGGAAGTTCCGGAACATATCACTTCCTACATTGCGACAGCAAATGCGCGGAACCAACAATATGCAGTGGATGCAGTCAAAATACCGCTACCAAAAGAGGAAGTACACTAAAGGTGTGCTACAGAGTCTACAGACCGGTTACTAGCGAATGTACGTGTGGTTTGGGAGTTTATTTTTGAAGACTATTGGGACAGCCTTTCGGGACCCTGAAATACCCAGAAGTATTTGCTACATAGAATATGAAATATAGCGCTATTGGGATATCAGACACCAGTTGCTGCTAAGGCGGCTCAGAACTGCTAGTTAAACTGCCCAAGCGTCAGCCAAGTAGCCTCCACATGCGGGGTCAACCCATGCTGATATATCATTCAGTTAACCGCTTGACACATCCAACATTCCCAGCTCATTCGGAGGGCAATCATTTGCTAGCAGAATTGCATTGAAGGTAAGGCCGTGCACCCCATCCATTACAGGTGATGCAGGTGATGTCCTGCAATCCCGAATTAATGGTAAGTGTATCACTGGTTATTATTACCCCGCATTCTTGATCAACGCAGCTTGGGCAGCGCATCGATCTACTAGCGGCCCCCAGGCACTCTAATCTTTTTCAAGGCTATTTAGGATTCTTGTTTCCCAGCCGAATGGCCGTATGTTTGTGGTCTCATCGTTTCGATTATCCCGCCGATCTCGATACCAGCCTCGAGAGCTCGTCGCCAGAAAGGCCCGCAGCACCATGGCCTCCGCACCCGGATCGTCCGTGATACCAGAAGCAGACCTTCGGTCCTTTCGCGAGCACCTTAAGCACAGCAAGCGTATCGTGGCCGTTGTCGGTGCGGGGCTCTCTGCCGCTTCGGGTTTACCAACCTTCAGAGGCGTTGGGGGCCTATGGCGACGCTACTCTGCAATTGATCTTGCAACGCCAGAAGCATTCAACGCAACACCAGGTTTAGTTTGGCAGTTCTATGGTTACCGGAGGCATATGGCATTGTTGGCCAAACCGAATAGAGCGCATTATGCCCTTGCGGCGTTGGCGAGGAAAAAGCCTGATTTCATCACGTTAACTCAGAATGTGGATGGTACGAAGACAATTTCATGGCTGATTTGAGACGGGATACTAATGTCTTCTGGTTTTAATAGGCCTCTCTGAGAGAGCTGGTCATCCCGAGCCGCAACTCCAGCGTCTCCATGGCTCGTTATATACCATCAAGTGCGCCAACGAATATTGTACGTATTCCCGCGATAACGACTTTACCGATCCGGTTGTCCCCGCTCTTGATATTCCAAAAGCTGCCCCTGGCGTTAGTCCCCACCCGAAAGACCATACGGGCGAAGCTGCAGGACAAGCATTAGAAGATGCAATGAAGGTCGGACCGGGTTGGGAGGCCAGCAGTGGAGAGTTGGACATTTCAAATCCCGATGTTCCCATTCCGGAGCTAACCTCGGACCTTCTACCACCGTGTCCAGAATGTGCAACCGGCTTGCTTCGACCTGGTGTCGTCTGGTTTGGTGAACCTCTCGCCGAGGCCACTCTCGATTTCGCGGACAAGTGGATCAAGGAGGCCCCGGTTGATCTAGTAATGGTTATTGGAACGAGTGCGCGGGTGAGCCCTGCAGCTTGTTATATTGATGACGGAAGAGAGCAAGGTGCACGAGTTGCGGTAATAAATATGGACCGAACCCATTTGCCTCGAACCGGAATGAAGGCGGGAGATTGGGTTTTCGAAGGTGATGCGAGTGTCATCCTGCCAAAACTCTTCGAAGAGATTGTAGGCGAGATTGAATTGCCGAAGACCTAGTGGAGTAAATGAACCCTAGCCGTGACGATAACTGGGGTCTTTCTTAAAAGCAATTCTGATTGGGGGCGTTGGAAGAGACATTGCCAGATTTTCATGCCCAATTGTGCCTTTTTCCGATATCCCAGCGGGATATTTTGACAGCTCGAGTCTCGCAAGCTACTAATTGTAATCCATCTCCTATAACGAGCATGATCGAGCAATAAGCCACAGCTCTAATCATTAGTTAGTTGCTCTATGAAATCGTTTTGCTCCGTAGCAGTTGAAATGGCCTTCGCGGCTTCGCCAACGACAATGATGACTAATCAGGCCGTTGCCAGGGCATCAAACAATCTGTTTTGAGTTGATGCTCATCGCGCCATCACATTCATGAAGCTTTAGAGCTTTCATTTCACTTTTCTTGCCTCATCCATCATAATACAATGAGGGTTGCTCTTTGGCAGCTCTTTTTGAATCTTCGTTCCGACTAGTCGTTTTCACAGCCAATAATTGTTTCTCCAAGGCCAAGGCTCAAACACCACAGAACGCAGCTTCGACAAGACTTACGCCCGTTTCAGAACCAATTTCAGCCCTAGAATATACGGTCTCCTAGCAAAAATGGTTAATGAGCGAGAGCCATCGAAGTATTCTACCCAAAATAATGGGACTACAGCTAAAAGCAGAGCCCTCCATGAGTTTGGGCAGCCATCTCCACTTGGGTCTAACAGACGGAATCCCTTCTATATCCCCAAAGCGAATGAACCGCGTCCGGAACATCACAGGCCGACGCAATCGCAAACAGAGCATCTAAGGGACGATCGACTTATAGCTGACCCCTTTCGAGCCGTGAAACCTTCATCCACGTTCACAAGCTATAGATCATCCTACAAGTTTAATGATGATGATGCCGTCGAAATAATGAGGCCCACCAATGCTGCATGGACTACGCAGCCTAGACCGAAACCGTATTTCTCCTCCAAACCGATAACGTCGACTGTGAGCAGATCGTCGAGCAATTTGAAGACGTTCATGGATTTGACTACAACCGAGATCGGGCTATCGAGCAATGCTTCTACCTACAATGATGACTCCCGCTCGATGGAAGCTTTTACGTATGTTGACAGCGCGAAAGCAAACGAGAACATCAAGGCATTGCTGGAGGGTGCGTTTGAGGATGAGGATGATAAACCCCGAACTAGGCTGCGGAAGAAGAAGCTCCAGAACCAGGTCGACGAATTAGCGGATAAACTAAAAGGGATTGATGTGAATGAGCCAAAAGAAAGTCAGAAAGATGCGAATGCTGGGACTAAACTGGAGGAAGATGAAGAAGGGGAAGAAGTGGACGACGGGACTGTTGAGGGTCTGAAAGTGAAGCTGTTGCCCCATCAAATTGAAGGTGTGAGCTGGATGAGAGAAAAAGAAACTGGCCAAAAGAAAACCAGAGGTGTATTGCCCAAAGGCGGCATCCTAGCGGACGATATGGGCCTGGGGAAAACGGTCCAAACCATCGCGCTAATGCTCACTAATCCGAGACCAACCCCCGAGAAAGAAAACAAAACGGCCAATAAAAAAGACAAAACAAATATCCCGGCTCAAGTAGGGAAGGGAACGCTCATTGTTGCTCCAGTGGCCTTGGTTAAGCAATGGGAAACCGAGATCAGCACCAAAATCGAAGCCACTCACCGATTAAAGGTTGGCATTTACCATGGCTCAGGCCGTACAAGAATTGCCAAAGACCTGACGGATTATGACGTGATCATCACAACATATGGCACTCTAAGTTCTGAACATGGAGGCTCAACGAAAACACAGGATAGAAAGTCAGGATGTTTTTCCGTGTGTTGGTATCGAATCGTTCTCGATGAGGCGCATACAATCAAGAACCGCAATGCCAAATCCACGCAGGCTGTATATGCGTTAGACGCATTGTATAGGTGGTGCCTGACTGGAACTCCCATGCAAAACAACTTAGACGAATTACAAAGTTTGATTAGATTTCTCCGAATCAAACCATATGATGAGCTGGCGGCATGGAGGGAACAAATCACTCGGCCATTGAACAACGGTCGAGGTGGCTTAGCGATCCGCCGTTTGCAAGTCTACCTGAAAGCGTTTATGAAGCGACGGACTAAAGATGTTCTAAAGTTGGACGGGGGTCTAAATAGCAAAAGCTCAGGGACGGATAAGGAAGGCAACAACTCATCGAGCGGTTTCCGAATCACAAAGCGAGATGTGATAAAAATAGAGGCAGATTTTACAGCCGAAGAAAGGGAGTTCTACAGTCGGCTCGAGGACAGGACGGACAAGAGCTTAGAAAACATGATTGGTCATCAAAAATTGAATTATGCGAGCGCTTTGGTACTTTTGCTCCGTCTTCGGCAAGCGTGCAACCATCTAGACCTCGTGAAAGGCGACCTCGCGCAGGAAAAAGATACAATCATTGGCACCAATGGAAGCCAGTCGAAGGTTTCGCAAGGCGCTGATGTGGATGAGATAGCTAATATGCTGGGAGGTCTTAGCGTTATCAGCAAAAGATGTGACATCTGCCTGATCGACTTGACGTCGGAGGAAGCTCAAAGCGGCGCTATTCGATGTAATGATTGCGAGGCCGATTTGAAGATCCACACTGGCTTGCTAAAGGAGAAGAAGACGAGGAAGGATAGGAAAAAGAAATCTAAAGATAACTATGTGCCTGGACAAACGACCGAACAACAAAAGTCTCGAGCCCAGAGACGTCGAGTTATCACGGATAGTGATGATGAGGACGCTGGCGAATGGATTGTTCCCCAAAGCAAGCGAGTAATAGAAGATCTAGGGAAAGCTGGGGGACCCGATGACGAAAATGCAGAAGGTGGAGGCGAATGGATTGGATCGGAAGATTCTGAGACCAGCGAGGACGAAGATGAAGACGGAGACGAAAGTATCGATATTGAGAACGAGGAAGATCTAGACGATACCCAATATCAGGCGTTGCGGGATGCCGTCTCTTCTACCAAGATCAGGCATCTACTGAGGATACTGAAGCGAGAAGCTGGAGAATTTAAATTCATCGTCTTCTCAGTTTTTACATCGATGCTGGATAAGATCGAGCCATTCCTCAAAGGTGCAGGTATTGGCTACGCGCGGTATGATGGTGGGATGCGAAACGATTTGCGTGAGGCGAGTCTTGATAGACTTAGAAACTCGAGTTCCACTCGAGTACTTCTTTGTAGTCTACGAGCAGGTTCATTGGGGCTGAACCTAACAGCCGCCAGCAGAGTGGTTATTCTGGAACCATTTTGGAACCCTGTATGTACCTTGCTAACTCCCTTTTCAAAAACATCTGAACTGACAAAACTACCGTCCAGTTCGTCGAAGAACAGGCTATCGACCGTGTCCATCGCTTAAATCAAACGGTTGACGTGAAAGTGTATAAGATGACGATCAGAGATACAGTTGAAGCCCGTATCCTAGACCTTCAAGAACGGAAACGCGAGCTAGCAAGTGCTACCATCGAGGGCAAGACTGCTGCAAGCAAACTTACCATGAACGATATGCTAGCATTGTTCCGTCATGATGCGGAAGCGAAGTTTGCCGACGACGATGGGTTGGACTTTTCTTCTGGAAAAGGTAGACTATTGGAATCAAAGGAAGCTTCAGAAAATAAGTTTGAGTATCCGTCGCTTAATACATCCTCGCGGAATTCGGGCTCGAACCCGAATCAGAACCAGGGCAGGAGAGCTACACCGCCAATCATGGAGAGAGATAGGAATAAGAATCGGAAACCGGTGGAGGAGAGTTCAATATTCGGGCGGAGATGGTGATGGAGGCTGGCTGTTTGCTGGGGCCTACGGCAATTGGTTATCAGTTTGCTTTCACTTGTCCAGACCAGCTCAGTGCTTTTTCTAGTTGGGTCGATCATGGTTCGATGCCGCACCCTCCACGGTAGGAGCCGGTTCCCGTCCCCCCAACTACATCAGCCCAACCGTCGATATGCGCCGCATCTCTTTCGTCCCAAGAACTCCAGGTTTCTCTGCTTGTTCCCTCTGCTCAGTTTCGAGGGAGTGCTCATGCAGGAGGTGGGAACTGCAGCGTTCCGGATCAGCTGTTCGGCCGAACAACCGAAACCCAACAATCTTCATTCAGACCAGTCGGGTTCGAAAGACTGATATTGTTGTGATGTTGATATACCACATGGGAAGTTAAGACGACACGTTATACTCCGTAGAAGTGTGGGCTATTTAGAAATGGTAATGGTTCATATTATTGCTTTAATACAGTTTCTGGTTGGCTTAATTAATTATCTTAAAATTCGGCGTCGCTTCAAGCTTGCTCCTAGCCACACACCCACCTCACATCCGATGAGTCAAAAGAAGCCACCCGCCCACCCAGAAAAAGCGGTGAACCAGCAAAAAAATTGAATATTTCGATGGTCCCAGAGGGGGTCGAACCCTCGACTTTGGCGTTATTAGCACCACACTCTAACCAACTGAGTTATGGGACCTGGCATGTTGGAACGGCGGAGCACCGTAAACCATGAGAGGTTCCCATCGCTTGATTGGACGCTGGGAGGAATACCAGACTGACTATATGTTTAACAGTCGGTCAATTCGCCAGCACAAACCAGTTCAGATGGCGGAGGAAAGCATCTGAAGCTAGACGCAAAGAAGAATTCCTCAAGCCACTTGATGTTAGGCGGGGAAGGTTCGCCTAAAAAAGTTCTCTGCATTGCCATGGATATCGTGCCGTTTGACACTGTTGAATTCACCTTGAGTCCTTGACGATGCATCAAGGTGCAACTTCATTTTCATGGTTTCATGGGAATATATATCCGCTGCAGTTTTGGCCCCAAGGTCGTTGGCCCAGCCGACATGAAATCAGCGGCTAGGTGGCTATCCGAGTCTCAAAACAATATGCATTGATAGCCTCGGAGCCGTAGTAGGCTTTATTTGATACGGAGGGTAGAGAAGTCGGAGCTTGGTGGACGGGAAATATTCGGGCATCAAAAGGTGCAGCATCAAAGCCAAGTGATTCATTCGGCTTCTGTCAAATGTGTGCGGCGTGCCTGCATTTGTTCGGAGTTCGTGAGAGGGGAGCCAAGCCCCTGTTGGGTTGAAACCATTGTTGGAACTGAAGGCCTCCAGAGGGAAGATTTGGGACACCAAAAAATTCAAGTTTATAGTTAGGATGAAGTCCAAAGAGGGCAAAAAGGAATTATCATGGTCCCAAAGGGGGTCGAACCCTCGACCTTGGCGTTATTAGCACCACGCTCTAACCAACTGAGCTATAGGACCTTGGTGGAAGCCAAGTTTTGGCGCGCTGACACAAGACATAAGACTCCGTAATACTCTCGTTGTCGTCATATTGCTTTGAACCTGGTTCGGGTCAACGTACCGATAGGGAGGCGATAACTAAGTCAAACCTGCCAGGGAGAGTTTTCTTTGTCAGCTGGCGCTGAGTGAGAGCGGGGAGAAAAACGAGAAAAAGCCCCAAGCCCCTCCGGGAGGGAGTCCCTCTGTGATATCTCAGACGTAGTATCCTGCGGATTTTCGTCAAGGATTTCATCAGAGGGCTCAGTTGCTTCTCACCTGGTAAATTCGATCCCGTTTCTTCCCTGCGTTTCCACTCTAACTCCAAGAAGCGCTCAGCACAGTATGAGCCAGGGGGGAGGACCGATGATGAAAGCCAGACTCTCGTGTAGCGAGCATCCCTTTACCATCATGGTATCGCGGAAGCTCCACTGTCGATGGCTGCTGAGGTCCTATACCGTACTGTGTACTGATTTATCTTGTTAATCTGCTGCAAATATGCCTTCTTCCTCGACGAGACAACTTACTTGTTCCTATATTACTAAGTTCAGCGGATTAAGGGGAGGCCTGACGGCAGCTGAATTGCGTCCTTCTCGAGACAACATCATACCAGGCTACCGAATGCCGCACAGGGTCACAAGAGATGATGGATGACGGATGGCATGGGTGAAGGGATGAGACATTGGCTTATACACTGCTTCTACTTGTTTTTATGGCAAGTACGATGGCTTGCCAGTCTGCAGGGAAGGCGCTACTGCTTCAGGGAGGCAAGTGCATTTTTCAGGAAGGACTTTATTGCCCCTACCCATCTGTAAGTAGGTAACTATGGCACAGCGTTATTCATGACATTCCTGACGACCCTCCGACCTGAGTCGAGCTCAGAGCTAGGATAAGAGCGGTAATGTACAATCCAAGGCAAAGGCCTTGATGATGGAAGTCGGTTGAATAATTAGGGTCTGAAATACAGATACTTCAGAGAACTGGCTCTAATTTTATCCTAACATTAGATTTAGGAGAGTCACTATCGTACAAGGAAGTTAGCAACTACTCTCTAATCAAACATGCAGTCATGAAAACTAACCAGGAGTGTTTCCACTCTTTTTGGCAACCTCAGAATAGCAAGTATTGGGGAGTGTAGGAAGTGTGGTGATTGAGGGTGTAGTGATGGCGCTCACCTCCCAATGTTCAGGCCAAACCAGGATGCCAAACTCATCACACCTCATCTATGGTTTTTCCTCTTCACCTTCCGTCACCGGCAGGGGATCTTTAAAGCGGCTTGCCTTCAGGGCGATTCCAGGACTAGTTATAAAGGGGGAATTTCATCGGGTCCATATCTTCCTATTCCTTTTTGGGGTAGCTACCAGCGACAGAGGAGCGATTCATGGTTTCTCTGTCCGATGTGAATCTATGTCTTGCAACCTTGACAGCTCACGGTGTGGCCTCAAAGTTGGCTAAAAGCTCCCGACGCTGAGCAAGGCTTGACATCTGCACCGGCTCACTGTGGTCATTCTTTTCTTTTCGAGAGCCTCACAGCACCAATTGACGGGGCCGAGTGACTCTAGATGAATCACTGCTTTTAGTACGAGAGTACTCCGTATCAGGTTGTAGTATCACTGTATCAGAACTGGCGAACGGTTATTACTTTGAATAGATCTTGTTTGTCAGCCTGCAAGTGACTCTGATTTGTAATAGCGGTGTTTTTTACATAGGCTTACTAACCAGTTCGTCTTCAACAACCAACGGTCCCATAACTCAGTTGGTTAGAGTGTGGTGCTAATAACGCCAAAGTCGAGGGTTCGACCCCCTCTGGGACCACGATAATTCCTTTTTGCTCTGAACTCCATTCCATCCTACCGGAGAAGTCCTTCTGGACGCGCCTTGTACTTTATTTTTTTCAGTCGGCAATGTTCATCGCATACGACGAGTTAACTCGATTCATGCCGTAGATTTTCTCTAATGCCACTAGGAACCAGTGAACTCCGTTCGAGGTTTTTATTGATGCGCATTAAATCTCCAGCTACTGAAACTCGGCTTTTGGGGGGAATTAATCAACCCAAACAGTTCGTGCCTTTGTAGGAGATTCAGCGACGTGATTATTCAACCAAGCTTGGAGCGGAGGGTCATCCAAAGACAACAAAGAAAAAATGCCTCAACAAAATTCTGGAACTTGGAATTTCGCAGCTTGCCTAGATTGTTCTGAGTCGAGGGCGCCTTGTCTCTTCCAAATTCGCGAGGGAAGCAACCGACTCGCTTTCCCTTCCTTTGACAGCTCGATGTTGTGATGAAGTGCTCATTGCTCAAACAAACCTAAGGTAGAAAGATGGGGCCATTCGAATTTCTGAAGCATTTCGCACACGGCGAGGTACCTTTTTCTTACTTCTCAAAGAGACAACAGCTCTTAGCGCTTCTGTCTTCCTAATTGGTTCATTTATGGAGTGCTTGGGTTCCCGAATTAAAAATCCTTTTTCCATCAATCGTTTTGCTGATCGAATTTCCGCTTCATACTGGGTAATGATATTCTCTTACTATTGGCTTGCTCAATTTGGCGGCGAATTGGTCTTCAATTTGTTCTAGAAGGCTTCCTTCTCGCGTGGGCCTTGAAGTGGGTGATGGCGGGACGGGGGTAAAATCCACGTGGCGCCTTAATTCTATGCACCCAGGATTTCTATCCTTGCCAGGCTATCGTCAATAATATGAAGACGTGGTGGGCAGAGCACTTTTATTTGTCAAAATGCTTTTAAAACAATATATATAACTGATGGCTGCAGGGTAATTTACCTTTTCTGGTTGCAATTGATGCAAATCCTACGTACTCTTCATGGTAGGGAACACTTTTTCCAATATCCGGAAACAGGTGACAATACAGAGAAGTTCTATTCAGATTTGGTTACAATTCTTTTTTCCCAAGGACGCCGCACCTTGCTTTCAATGCAGAGTGTGCATAGACCCACCATGTGCTTTAAAGGCAGTTGACATCATGTGTAACATAGAGGTGACACGCTCTTTGATGAAGGAGCATGAATAGACATTCAGAGGATAATAGCTCTCCTCGAAAAACCGTATATTCATTCCTTGTAGTGGCGTTATCTCGGCTGAAATGCCTTGTCGAGGCTTCGAGAAAGTCCTGCGAACGATGTAGCCAAGGCGCGGATGGTTCAAAGATACACACAGGAAACAGGGCAGCGGGCCATCTGCCTATAAGCACGGTTTGTTATAGCTCTGGAGCACCATGAAACGTTCCCAGGCGTCAGTTAAGCGAACACGTTGCACCACCAACGGTTTGTGTGTGGTTTGTGGAAGGGTATCAGAGAGTGAAAGATGTGTGTAGCCGTGTCAAGCCTAGAGGTTCGAGGCATACAGTTTCATCATTTTTGAGTATGGCCGGATTGGCTGCTTGAGGGACGATCGTGTGATTGTCAACTTGAACTGATATTTCCGTGCAAGGGCAAGAGCCTTCCTCCTTCAAATTACAGCCTGGCGTGAAATAACAATGACAAATAAATGGCCGAAAAGGACCATAGCAATCACAAAAATGAAAAGGACCCTGGGTGCCTTATAATTGAGTGGAAGGGACCCCTGTCACGTTTCTCAGGGTCGGAACACTGCTGATAGGTTGGAAAGAGATTGGAACTGAGACAAGTGTTCCATGCATCAACAGTTTTTCCGGGTGCCCGCAACAAGAGGATGGTTCGAGGGAGTGACGAAGGGAAGAAATCACACTCTCATCTCTGCTTTTTTGATGAGACTCGAGAGCCAACCGTCGATGAGGAGAAAATCAGGATCCGATCGACGTGGTTGGAGCATATGGCGTTTTGGCTTTTCGGAGCCCCCGAAAATACGGAGAGGACAGAATGGTAGAACTTTTTGAAAAAAGCGATTCTTTTCCGATAAAGCAGAGACATCGTCCATTGTCTCTCTTTTTCTTCTGTACTGTTATATTGGTGTCAAATACGGCGGCTTTTATCCCAGGGCTTGAGATACTGCTGTCTCTTTCACCAGTCCTCGAGATACAGACACGGACTGACAGCGACTTGGCGCCGTAAAGTTACCGTTCGTATTTCGGTTAGCATGTTTTCTTGTTTCAGAGCCCACCGCACTAGTCCGTATCGGGCTTGGCTGCAGAAGTTCTGGATCGACTGGAAAACGTGGCGTCCACGAGGTTGGGCAAGCCTTCAAAGAACAAAAAAGCCCCAAATTCATGCGCGCAGAAACGATAACTTGGATCGGAAACCCTGGATTTGCTTGTCATCAAGCAGGTCCCTTACGGAGTATTAATCTCCCTTTTCAGATCTGAACCGTATTTCCTCTGTCATGCTTTGGCTGGTATGAACTGGAAGGTTAGCCGGTTGACGGTCCGTAATCTTAGTCAGTCACGTGGAAAAGGTTCCCTTTTTGGAAGCGCAGTTCATGAGCAAAAGGGCAAAAATATGCCATATAATAAATCCCTCGCCAGAACTGATGGATGGGAGGGAGTGAGTTTGCGAAAACGTGCCATTCCGCCTCCTGGTAAATTATTGGTCGGGCCGTCTCTTTGTGCTGATGAGTGATCCATCAGTCAGAAGGGCGATCGGCGCGTTGCTTCTGGTTGGGAGGCGTGTTCGGTGGGCGAGAGTGCGTCTGTACCCGATACGAGGCCCCTGTTGCAAAAAAGCAAGAAGTTGTTGGTGGGGAAGTCCCGCGAGAGTGGACCATCACCGATCCATCCTCTGCCAACTTAAATCTCACGCTTCTCTCAGTCCCGCAGAAACGCCCAACCTCCACAGCATGACTCTTTCACATGGACTGTCCTGGATATCGCACACTGCCTGCATATGCTTTAGCATCCCCTAGTAGCAAAGCTCCTCTGCGGCAATCCTCGATTTCCCAGTGCAGCACGCATCACTATTCATCCCCATTCAGTATGCCGCCTCATGGCGACTGCTGAGCCGACAGGTCTTCTTTTCTTTCTCCGCCTCTCCTCTCCGCGCCTTCAGTCATTTTCTCCCTCTAGCCCACCTTCTGTCGTCGCCTAAGCCTCTTAGTCCCAATTGTTGCTCCATCTTAACTTAAAAACCCCTGCAACAAGCACCGGGTCATGTGTTGTTAATTTGTTGTTCGCCATTCTTCTTTTGTACGTCTTCGGGCTCGGCTTGGTTTCAACCGATTCCCCTTCCCTTCATTCTTCAGGCTCCAATCCTAGTGGTTCTTCAGCAGTCGCCGATTGAAACCCTGGCCCCAAAAACAATTCACCACTCTCCAACTTCTCAATTATCTGTGATTTTCAAGGTGCCATTATTCCTTGGAAGCTCAATTCAAGGATTTGCGACGGCCGCTCTGAAGGTAAGCCCCGTGGCCCCTTTTGCAACTGGCATTCGAGACGTGCCTTCAGCCCTAACCCTGTATTCTTCACCTCCCTGCTTTTCACTGTGTTGAGCCGCTCGTTTGTTTTCTTCTCAGGTCTCCTTGCTTTAGTGCCTGCCGTTTGCTTCTTCCTCCCTTGCTTTTTACTTATTAATTGGGACGAATTTTTAGATATTTTTCCCGCAACATCAATTCGCGATCCGAGCCTCACCCTGCGAGTCACAGATATCCAATTACGCATACCGTGACGTTCAACGATCCTCTTGTTCTACTTCCTTCATAGCCGGTTGTTATTTCGTCGAAGTACCGAATAAGACCTGTCTGATGTAGACGCGGGAATTCCGTGGCCTCTGAGAACAATACGGGAGTTGATCTGCTAGTTGAAATGGGAAACTCTCAAACAAAGCAGGTTTCCTGCAATGATGCAGGTTCGTCTAAGATGTCATGCAAGCGGTGGAGGGCTTCGAGTACCGGCTGGCTCAATGAAAGAGGCTGATGGTTGAGCAATATAGTGAACCTAAATCACTTTCGCCTCTTGCGTGTGGTTGGAAAAGGCGCTTTCGGGAAGGTCCGTATCGTTGAGCGGAAAGATTCCGGTTTAACTTTCGCTCTAAAATATATAAGAAAAGATGAAGGTGAGGATAGATGTCTGATTAACGGCACGGGCGAACCGCTAACGCTGGAAAAGTGGTCCGGTCTGAAAGCGTCCGCAACATCATACGAGAACGGCGCATGCTGGAACACTTAAACCATCCATTTCTCTGCAATCTAAGATACAGCTTTCAGGATATCGAGTACATGTTCGTGCCAGTCTTGCTGATATCCCGAATCCAAAGCAATTCCCTGACATTTTTACAGATATCTAGTGGTTGACCTGATGAACGGCGGTGACCTGCGGTTTCACATATCGAGAAAATGTTTCACAGAAGAAGCTATTCGATTTTGGATCGCAGAGCTTGCGTGCGCCTTGCGATACATTCATAGCCAAGGAATAGTGCATCGCGATTTGAAACCGGATAATGTATTGCTTGACTCCAAAGGTCATGTGCATTTGGCAGATTTTGTATGTCCAGCGTTTACCGTGCATAATTCAGCAAATATTGACTCTTTGGCAGAATGTGGCGTCCGATTTTAAACCCTCGCGACCGTTGACAAGCAAATCAGGCACTCTTGCATACCTCGCACCAGAAGTTTTCGATGGATCCGGTTATTTCAGTGAAGTGGATTGGTGGTCATTAGGTGTGACATTTTATGAATGCATTTACGGCAAGGTAAGGGGCATAATATGAGACTTGCTCTCAGTATCACTGACACCTTTGCAGAGACCTTTTGACGGCCGAAACCACCACCAACTGGGCGAATGCATTATGCGTGCACAACCCAAATATCTCGTGACAAACCCTCCTGTCACTATTCCCTGTCTTCGAGCGATGGCGGCCCTAATGGAAAAAGACCGATCGAGACGAATAGGAGCGAATGGATTTGAAACTTTTACCTGCCATCCTTTCTTCGCTGATATAGATTTTGACGCCCTTGAACGATATGATGTACCTCCTGTTTTTGTCCCGTCCAGCGACAAGACTAATTTCGATGCGACATATGACCTTGAGGAGTTGTTATTGGAGGAAGCGCCATTGGAAGCGAGAGCTCGTCGACAGAAGCCCAGAGCTGAACTGAAGGAAGACGCGACACCTAAAGAAATCAGAGAAGACGAGCTATACAAGATAATAGAGACAATGTTTGAGCCGTTCGACTACACGCTGGTGAATTATGACGGGTATGGGCTATTGTTTCCTAATTGATTATATTCGAGATTTGACTGACTTTACGTTTTAGAACTGCCGCATCCGCTATTGAAGCTTCGAGGTTAGTATTGCCACTGCTTGTTCCCGTAGATTCGAAGCTGATGTCTGTTAAAGTAATCCGGAAGAACGCCTTCCCTCTACCGTTCCCCTAGCACGTCCGGTACATTTCCGGCAACTTTCCCAAGGCCGCTCAGGCAGTATTTCGCCGTCTTTAACCGAAAAGTCGTATAACCCATCCAATGCTTCCGACACATACTCTCCTCTAGGTGAAACGATACATTCTATAACTTCCCGAGATACAAATGGTCGTAATGGCATTCATTCTGCCTCACCTCCGCCTCCCTCTAATCGGGCACCCACGTCGCAACCATTGAACAATAATCTTCCGCCCATATCCCAACGCCCTCCTGGTGCGACGAGGAAGACAAGTAAAGGCGGTGGAGTCCAGATGGTGCTGGAGGAAACTGGTAGCTGGAGCACGCTTGCCGACCAAACCAGCATTACTGAAGGGGTAAAAGGGAAACCGAGTGGTGGGATGTTCTCTTTCCTCAAGGGAAAAAAGGGTCGGGAACGAAGTCCAAAACCAACAGAACCAGGAGTACTGGGCAAAGAGGGCGCAAGACAGATTATCAATTGATTCGAAAGCCAATGATTTGGGATGACTGTCGCATTACACAACTAGTAACCTCCGTCGTGAGTCGGATGTTACCACCACTAATAGTGCTGCGAGCGCTAGACTGAGGGTAGTGGGCTTATGGGCTTGCACATCGAAGGCACCCTCCGCGGCTCTGCCCTGAAACAAACTTGTGCTTGCCGATCCCGCGTATCTCAGTCGTGGTCTTTCGACCACTGTTTGAAAACAAGCCGCTCTCCTTGGCGATTGACACGATACCAATGTTCGAGTATTTCATCCGCTTCCCCCTAACCTCGCTTCTCCGTTTCTTCATTACATATTTCGTTACGAGGTTATGAATTATCTGTAGAGCACAACTACCTTCCATGTTCATATTTGGCCTGGTCTGTTTTTTCTTTCTTTTTTCTTTGACACACTATTTCTTGAGTTATGGGCATAGTTTCGGTGGGTGGATTCGCGACAAACATCTCGTCCTGCTTGATATTCGTTGTTTTAATATAGAGACACCCTTGGCAAAAGCGGGAATCGTCTTCTCCATTTTCTATTTCGTTATTTTTATCTTTTCCATTGTTGGCCTTTTGTTTGCATGCATATTGGGATCTGGTAGGGCGTTGACTTACAGGCGAAGTTCTCTAGACTCGCTGGGTTGAAATTTGAGACAATAGCTGACTCGTTTTCCTTACTTTCCAATTCTATCAATGGCCTTGATATCGCATGTTTGATTCAACACTGTTCCTATCAAACCAAGAGATAGGGCCTAACAAAAAAGACTCATTCTTGTACTGAAGCCCATGAAACCATTCAAGGTGCCGCCGAGTCGTCTTAACATTCCAGACTACTCTGGACGTCCACGGAATTCCCTGTTTTGGTATAACTAGCTAGCATACTGGTAGGCATCGTAATAGATTCGTCGGAGCCCACGAAAATGCATGATTACATAACCCGACTAGCAACTACGCGTCATGATTGGCAAGTCTTCAAAGGGAAATGTAAACATGTTACCTTGTTGGTACACAGCACGTGTGAGACGCATGAAAGACGATATCATAGTCGCATTCATTCTTTGCATTACAGGTTTACATTCGCTACAGAGCTTGATTGCAGATAAAATCTTGAGGACATTTTTACGAATCTCCATACCGCCCGTTGTTCTTCCATTGACCTTACGGATCCCCGAACAGCTGAGTAAAAAAGGACCTTTGGAGGTTGGATCTAACCAGTGATCTTTATTCCCGACAAAGGGATTTCGAAATAGACCGCATCTGAACAGTTCTGTGCTATTGCGTATGCCGCACCGCTCGCGCGATCGTCACCGCGGCTACGAACCAGAATGGCAACATCAGAGGGAAGCGAGTCGGCACAGATATCGCGATAACCGAGACGACTACGATTACAACCACGACGACATAATTGACGCGGAGGAGAAGCGATATGCTGGGCCTGGGCGGCAGCGGTCCCGACACCACGGCGAGTCGCGATTGCGATCCCACCGTCGATACGACCCTCATGACAGATACGAGGATGGAGGCATTGAGGATGACGAGGATGACGATTACGATGATGATGATGAAGATGAAGAAGAAAGCGAGATAATTGTTGTTGATTCCAGGCCGAATTTTGCTAGACCACCGAATGTGCGGCCAAGTCCTCGACGAATAACACCGCCACCTTATATCAGCGGAAGAGAGAGGTCGAGACATCATAAAGCGAAAGAATCTCCTGCCACGTCACCGGTGAAGAAAAGGGATCGGGAGCGCGATAGAGAGGGTCATCGCAGGCGGCGGGATAGTACGGCAGATGATGATGCGCACGCCCGGGCTAGACTGCGTGATCGAGCTGCGAGAGAAAAGTATCGAGAAAAGGACATAGCGGATGCCCGGGCGCGCAGCAGGGACGAACCAAAAAGATCGAGGCACTGGGAGCGGGAACGTGTTCGGGAAAAGCATGCGAGTTCGGGTTCGGCGAATAGTGCTACGCAACTGCTGAGCGCGAATGCATTATCCAAGCTCAATGAATATAATGCAAAACGGGATGCTACCGAGCGGCAACGCGAGGCTAGGGATGAAAAGGCCCGTCGTGAAAAGGAGAAACGACGGAGGAAGAAAGAAGGAATGTTTGTTGGGAAGGGGCGTGATCGTGATGTCTCGCGGGAGAGAGGAAGGGAGAAGAGCAAGAAAAGGCTTGTCTCTGGTGCGATGATGGAAGAAGGACGTGGCCCGGAGCTACGGGTACGAGGAGGGGGTCGACATCGGGAAAAAGAGAGAGACGACGGTGGTGGTGGGAAATGGTATCAGAATTGGAGCAAAAAGAAGAAAATTTGGGTGATTGTTGGAATTGTGGCTTTGCTCTTGATCATTATCATTCCGATCGGTGTGGTGGTTTCGAATAAGAAAAATGATACAGAGGATTCGCCGGGACGGGCCGATTCCGATCCACCAAACGACAACTTGAAGGATATTGACCGCAGTAGTATTCCGGTGAGTATTTGTTCGACCATGGCACGATCCAAAGTTATTAATGCTGTTACAGGAAAATGCTAGAGGTACATATCTCGATCCGTTTACCTGGTACGATACAACGGACTTTAATGTGACGTTCACGGATGAGACTGTTGGCGGACTCCCGATAATGGGATTGAATTCTGCCTGGGATGACTCTACGCGAGCGAACGATCACGTCCCGCCTCTAGATAAATCGTTCCCTTACGGAAAACAACCCATCCGCGGCGTCAATGTGGGAGGATGGCTTTCCATCGAACCGTTTATTACCCCTTCATTTTTCGAAAGATACTCCGCGCAAGACGGCGTCGTCGACGAGTACACACTGACAAAGCGCCTTGGTTCAACCGCAAAAGCTACATTGGAAAAGCATTATGCTACGTTCATTACCGAGGCATCTTTTAGGCAAATGCGAGATGCTGGGCTCGATCATGTGCGGATACCGTACTCCTACTGGATGGTGAAGACATTTGACGATGATCCCTATGTCGAGCAGGTGGCTTGGAGGTATCTTCTGCGAGCCATCGAGTATTGCAGGAAGTATGGCCTTCGGGTCAAATTGGACATGCATGGGGTGCCTGGCAGTCAGAATGGCTGGAACCACAGCGGGCGACAGGGCGCAATCGGCTGGCTGAATGGTACCGATGGGGATAAAAATGCTCAGCGTGCTTTGGATATTCATGATCAACTCTCCAAGTTCTTTGCGCAACCACGGTATAAGAATGTCGTCACGATATATGGCCTTGCGAATGAGCCTTTGCTACTCAAACTCGATATAGAGCCTGTTTTGGATTGGACAAAAAAGGCAGCCGAGATCGTTTCAAAAAATGGTATGAAGCAATATATCGTTTTTGGAGATGGGTTTTTAAAACTGTCCAAGTGGAAGACGATATTACAGGATACTGGGTACAATTTCCTCCTTGATACACACCAGTACACGATTTTCAACACGGCCTTGGTTAGCCTGACGCACAAGAAGAAACTCGAATTCGTCTGTGATGGGTGGGTAGAACTGATCAGTGAGAGCAATTCAAAAAATACTGGGTAAGAAGCCAAATCTATCCGGCCGCATCATCCAATATGCTGACACATACATCGCAGTTGGGGCCCAATCATCTGTGGGGAATGGTCCCAAGCTGACACTGACTGCGCCAAATACCTTAACAATGTAAACGTTGGCACCCGCTGGACGGGTACCATGGACAGTCCAACGGCCAAAGACCAAGTTTTCAAGCCCCTTTGCCCGAATGAGGACAAGTCAACATGCAGCTGTGACGGGGCCAATGCTGATCCGTCTAATTACTCAGATGAGTATAAGAAGTTCCTGCAAACATATGCGGAAGCGCAGATGTCTGCCTTTGAGAAGGGCTGGGGATGGTTCTACTGGACATGGGAAACAGAATCGGCGGTGCAATGGAGCTGGAGACGTGGATTGGAAGCAGGCATCCTGCCGAAGAAGGCGTATGAGCCGACATTTAAGTGTGGAGATGATTTTCCGGATTTGGGCAATTTACCGGAATATTATTAATTCTCCGTGTTTGGACTGAGGCTCTATTTTTTACAATGCATCACCTGTGGTATATGCGAGCTGTGATTTATGGCCTATTTGTTGTTGGAGTTAGGAATTGTTTGTTTTGCATACCTTGCTGGATCGCATTTGGCGTTAGAACTTGGAGGATAATTTCTTATACCCATCTATGCTCTCTGGGGGTTCTCTTTGGTCTTTATCTGGAGCATGTTTGAAATATGAGAAAATGTTTGTTGAAAGTGAGAGCAATGCTTTTTTAAACAGTCATTCTTGGGTTCCGACTTTTTACTCCCACTCCCACTTTGATCATGGTAGAGAGCTTTTGTCCTTTCAAAATTTTGTTCATTTTAAAGGACTGTACAAAGATTAGCAGGGACGGCAAATATATACCCAAACGACCCCGCAACAAATTATATAGATATACATTATTTTCCCGGATATCAAGCTCATTCCCAATCGTCACCGTGATTCATGACTGATTTGCAATTTCAGGTATTATGCATCAAGGCTTTATACAACAATTCCGCCTTATTTAGTTGTTCTCTCTTGGGACGCCAACGATTTCCACAAGCTCCGTTTCGAAGATCAACGTCGAGTTAGGCGGGATTGGCCCAACCTCCCTATCTCCATAGCCCAGCAGTGGTGGGATGGTGATCTTGCGCTTGTCGCCAGGACACATGTCACGGGCACCCTCGTCGAAGCTTCAGCATAGGGTTGATCTCGAGTCAGTTATCATGTTCTGAAAAGGACGCCGGGTACAAAGGTCGGAAATGTGTCTCTACATACCCCCTAATCACCTTTTTTGCGCCTAGAGGAAACTCCAATGGCTCCCCTCCAATGCTGGAATCAAACTCAGTGCCGTTGGTAAACGTGCCACGGTAGTGGATTTTGATCGTGTCTCCGGCCCGTGTTGGGCGGGAGCAGGAGACTTCGCGGGGCTTTTCAATGACGAGGTCGCCGCATTCCAAGGCAGCAACAGCCGTGATAGTGGCGGCAAGGACGGTGAGAAGACGCATTGTGATAGTCGTCGTTCGCGATATCTGGGAGATCCTGATGCGTTTGGGTATCTCGCTCTCGTTCGTTGCAGCGGGGGGCTGCCGTATTTAAGCTTAGTTTTAGATTAGACCCGTATTGGTCCCGCTATGGAGGTGCGACTTCGACATGTAACTAAGTCTGGGGTAGATCAACCGGGCATGTTAATCCATGCGGATGTTCATGTTCTGGCTTTGATCTTCCCCCCGGCCTTGAGTTAGGAATATTTATCTCCTGTCGGTAAACATCGGTCCCTTGCAGGCGATGCCGCAATTTCAGGGACAATCCTTGAGATCCAAGTGAGTTGCAGGGTATATTTGGATCATTACAATCAAGGGACACCATGTTCAATTAACTCTCGATTGAGAGAGAGCCGGGACTGAGAGGGCAATCTGCCATGTCGTGCGTGCCCCTGAAGTATCCCGCTGTGTAATGTCATTTAGATATTGGCCAAGTCTTCAGGGCACCCGAGATATCATTGAAGAATGCTTTGTCTCTGAGATCAGAAAAGGGGTTTCATGAAATGCATGGCTTTGGATCGAGGTTGCGGTGGTTAGTTGCGGAATTGGCGGAAAATACTTCATCCAGCCCGCTTTTAGTTTTACCTAAGCTAAGCTTATTTTCAACCCTCCGCCTTCAGCTTCACTTCATCTCTACCTTGGAACCGACACTGCATTTGAACGAGCGTTATTTTCTGGCCTGAGTTCGTTCAAGCTTCAAGTTACTTGAGCCTATGTGTTCACAGTTGGCGGAATGGTGCCCTCCCGTTACGCAGCTAAACGAGCAACGGGAATCTCGTCCAACGTTCCCAGGCCTATTCGCAACGAAAAGGAAAGCCCCGTACTCCGTACATTTAATTGAAAGGAGAAAAGAGACACTGCGTGCTACATGTAGTGGTGTGATATACCTAGGAAGTTGACGACTAAACTCTAGGTAAACTCATGGGTTGAATATACATGTAAGCTGGCTTATTTTAAGACACATGATGCTGAAGTTTTAATTGCAGAGTTATGGCAGCTTCATTCCTATTATCAAGCTCGATGTGACGATGCTTTATCCGGATCCAGCAAGAGCTGTTGGGAGATATCATTTTCTTCACATAATGCGAAATATTGCCACCTGTTGGACACTCTCAGTCACAATGCCTGATTAATGGTCCTCTAAAGTCAACAGTGCGGAGAAAAGCATTGAGAGGCACGATTAACGTACGCCTCTGGCTATATAAAGAGTCACATCTAGGAGTCTTGGAATATCAGACCGTATTGAGGCTACGAAGCAGACTCAGAAGCTTCTCGTATTCTTGAATTATACCATGTCCTCATTTACAAGTCAGTTAATTATGGCGTGGATGCAATGGTCGAACGTTTGCAAGCAATTTTCTCGTGCGTTTGGCAATATAATTGCAACAGAAGGGGAACTCCGAGTCTGGAAAATTGTAGAATTGGTTAACTAACTAGTAACCAGCTCCATTTTGCCGCCAAGAGCTTAGAATCGTCAAAACTCATTCAAAATCTAACCCATAAGCTCGTCGTATCTTTTCGCCAACTAGAGGTTATGCGGCCTTGGACTTAGATGAATTTTTGGTACCCGTCTACTAGCATTTCTGCTTGTCAGTGGGGTATTTCCAGGCGGCTGATTGCCATATTTGCTGTCTTGATTTTTGTCCGTCGATATTGATAGCCGCAGGCTCCTTAGTTACAGGGATTAGCTCACCAACAGGATGGCTAACTGATAGACCACTTGTGAGTGGGTAGCTATTATGCCTGCAAACACGTCAAAATTTGATCTGTTATTTTCTCAGCAATCAGAATCAACGCCTTTTGGACGTCGATACTACTTCTCGCAATTGTCAGCGGTGAAATTTGACCTGTGAAATACTTCTTGGGTTGAACTTGTTTCGTATGATACTGAGATTACGCTCGCTAGGCAGCTAGACCAACATAACAATAAGGCAGTATGGCTGCCTTGGGTTGGAGTTATCCATCCCCGCCCCCTGCGGGCTTTTGGAGCCCAAGAACTTCGACAATGAAGTGAGTGAAGTTTTTGAGTGAAAGTCGGCATCTAACTATGGCCCGCAGTAAGCTAACCAGATGCTAGCTTCTGCGAGCTGGTAAGCCATTGCTGTGCTGCATCGATATTCAATACGTGCATCTGACCTTGGCCTCTTTAATGACCTCAGGACTACATTGTCTCGACATATATTGCAGAATTTATCAACACTATATCAAATTTTGTGTACTGTGAGTGGCCGACCCCCTATTATACTGAGGCGATTCTAACTCAATCTCAGTATATTTGGCATGGAAGGGACTGTTTTGCTCTGAACATCGAAAAGGGGATTACGCGATTCTTTTGAGTTACATACAGCTAGCAGGAGTGGGTATTGGGTCCATTGCCTTCCACTCAACACTGAAGTTCCCTGCCCAAATAGGTTTGTTTGGCCGTTCCATGTTTTTGATGGTAGGCCTATTGACACTTACTGTTCTTAGTTGATGAAATGGCAATGCTATATGCAACTTCCACTGTCATCTATGCAGTGTTTGCATTCAGGTTAAAGCCGATGGTCCAGTTGTTCTTCGGATTTCTCCTCTTTGCTGGTTTGTCTGTTATTACAATTCTTCACGTTCAGCAGGAAAACTCGTTGGCACACCGTATCTGCTTTGCTACTATGATCGTAATCGTAGCCGCCCGGTGCAGCTGGTTGTTACTGGGAGTAACCGACCTTGCTATCAGATCCGAGATGAAACATCTTGCCTTTATGGGAACAGGTAACTCAACTCAGAAATCTTATCGATTGGAAGGGCACAGACCTAACTCGCATTGGTTACAGTCACATTCGTAGCCGGTTTTCTCTTTTGGCTGATAGATGTCTTCTCATGCAACGACCTTCGGAATATGCGGCAATTCTTAGGGATGCCTCTTGGTGTCGTCCTTGAATTCCATGGCTGGTAATGCTTGACTCTCACCTAAAGTTTTTGGTATATTCCGGGAATGAAAGTTCAAAGACTGATAACATCCAGGTGGCATATTCTTACCGCAGTAGGTGTTTACTACTATCTCGTCTTCGTTGAGTATATTCGTCTGCAAAGCGACACGCAGAACCGAAGTTGCACCGTCAGGCTTTTGCAGTCCTACTTTTTAGTACCGCATCTGATCGTTCTCCCACAAAAACAAGACTGAGGCTGGCTGAGGGTGTAATCCCGGGGAAGAATCACGATGCCCGGGGTTTGGATGTACGTATGTGCCACAAAGCCTATGTAAGAGCCTGGCTATAGAGGGTGCATAACTCATTCAGGAGGTTAGACTAGGCAGCATGAGAGTGTAACAGCATTATCCTTTGCACCACCAACAACTTTGAGAATGCCATTTCCGAGGCGAGAATATTGATTATGATTGAAAGTCATAGCTCTTGTGTAAACCCTGGTCAAGGGGAATTGCAACAAAAGCCAGGGGTGTGGTCAAGCCTCGTACTTGGATGCTGAAAGTTGAAATGCTTGACGATTTGAACCGCAGTGTCGACACCTCAATCTTAGCCGTATATCCTGATGTGACCTCCCTGGGCTGAATCGCTACGGCGACTGCGTTTATGCATTGCTTTTCGTGAGGTGGCTCTGGGGAATACCGGACAGGCGTTTCAACGCTGGCGTGAACACTAGATTTTACTGCTCTCCGTACACGACATCAGATTGAAGTATAGGTCAAAAGGCGGTTGTAGGTCCTCTCACAATAGATTTCAAACACAAGAACTATCTCTTGAGCCGTTGGTTTGATAAGAACATGAAACCAACCGTGTTATGTAGGAACCAGCTCCTATAATTTGAGGTCAGGAGCTCCTTTCCGTTGAACCGAGGTAGGCGTGGTAAGCCTTCGATATGATTCATTGATGCTGTGTTCGTCCGTGCAGATGTAAATCCCGTGGGCTATGGGCATATCTAGATATTATGTATCCTCTTCAGTTTCAAACTCATTATGGTCCAGCATATATGTTCAGAACTTATCCAATAGTATTTAAGCAAGACTGACGGTAGCGAGGCCTAAAGACATAGTGTTATCGGAGTATCACGATCTGAGAGAATCATTAGATGACGTATCTAAGCTACGGGAGACAACTGTCAAAAAATATGGGGTATGAATCTAACCTCAATCTTGATACTCGTCGCAAACTGTAGCGTTTCATCTGGAGTGGCCGGGCTTTTGGAGCCTGTGTGCTCATGAACTTCAAACATTAGTGCCGCAAAGTTGAATCTTTCAAAACTGGAGATAGCTTTCGATTTGCCGGCTCCACGAGAAACTCGTTTTCTATTCGTTGGCCGCATCAACAGGATTGAAACATTCGATAGCATTGAAAACCGCGAAGCTAAGCGAGGGCACAGATGCAATGTAGCGGTTTTGCATGAGTGTGCCAGAAATGTCTAAACAATCGTTGCTCAGAGCAAAGGGTTGAATGTGCACTTGAGTTGCGTAGGAACTTGAGCTCAGATACACCCGTTCTGGCGGGGGCCACCTGGGGCCAAATCTCCGAGGAGCCTTTATACCCTTCCGCCTATTTTCAGTACCGCTTGCAGCCCAAAGTGTTGATCTTGCTGTGGAACGCTGATTCTGGAGCAGCAGAGCCACAACGGCCGACCCGTCCGCGTTGATATCTGGAGGCTGAGCCCGGCGACCGTTGCAGGGCCCGGCTTAGTCAGACGGTAACGCCGTAACTCAAAATCGCCCGTCAAAGTCAATTATGCAAGGCTGAGAAGACGGTTGTTCACCAACGGCAAGGCCAAATCTGTCTGTTGAAGAGACAGAACAAAGATCCGATATTGAGGGTGGCTCGGGCAGGTTACTCTTGTCTCAGATGGCTCATAATCCATCCTGGGTTCTTGTGACTCCTGCTGCCCATGCTTTTTCTTTGTTCACAAACACCGACTGGCCCTGCAGGGATATCCCTTGCCAGCTGTGCTCTGTTCCCCGCAAGGCTCCTTAGTGCATGGGCCTCTATTTTGGCCCGATTTCTTGACCATTCAAGAGGCACACTGCCAGCGAAGGAGCCCCAATCAACCAGTGAAGTGCGAGCATGCTGGGAGCAATCACAGTTGATCAGCTCCATGTGTTGCCAGAATGAAATATTTCCAGGACCCTGCCAGCAAAAGCAGGATTCCATTATTAAACGATTGGAAGAGCGCGGGCAGAGGCTGTTAGACCGCTCTGAAGCCTGCATAACAAGGCCCATGCGTGTCTGTCCCGCCATGGTTTGCTCGCAATGTCAACTCCCTCTGTGTTACTAATTTTACGACGCTTAAAAAGGATTCGGCTTCCCCAACCTCCCCCACAAGGTTTGCTCTGATTGTTTGCTGCAACTGACTCCTTCAACTTTTTCTTCGAACCCTGAGCTTCAAGGGAGAGATCTCGGTGACGAGATTGTTGCGCACTTATTCTCGTCCTTTTCGCATAGGGCGCCTACCCGATATGAGTCCGTCGCTAGACAATTAAGCGCCAGACATTGCTGTCGCACTGATTTGACGTGATATCTTGATGAAAAATGGAACCAACAGGACAACCGGGCCCACAGCCAGCACTATCACAACCGGACGCTGTGTTTTCGCGAGGCCGAACCGCAAGTGCTTCGCGACGACCGTATGAGCGGCTGCCTTCAGAAGATGACATTAGTCGCCTCCCCGGCTCACAGCCCAGCAGTCCAGAGCGCACCCCTAACAATAACCAAGCGAGGAGGTCGAGCGCAACTGGCTTGGGCCTTAGCGGCATTGGCGAGAATTTCACGAATTTTATAGATAATACTTTCAAACCTCATTCCCACAGTACGTCGTCAGCATCAGACCGCCATGCCAGACTGGGGCGCGACTCCCCGGACGAACCGTCTCAGCGCAATCCAGCGGACGCATTTCCCTTGACTCGGTACCCTTCCTACCACGAGAGCGCATCTACCTTGGTACAAAACACGCCGACATTAAATTTACCGGAGCAAAGAGGTAGTCATGATTCAGTAACTTTAGTGTTGCCAAACTAATGAGCTGAGATTGATCACTAGGCCATTCAGGCGATATCAAGTGCTCAAGTCGAAACAACGTTATTCAGCGACGCACTTCATGGCTGTCCATTAGCATTTTGCTCCTTGCGTTCTACTCCACTGCCTTCTCCGGTATATACCTTGTTGTCGCATGTGTGAAGCCTCGGTTTGGCAATCGTATCGGGACGGATGGTGGACTAGCTCCATCTACGGCATCGTTGCTAAGTGCCTTCTTTGCTAAAACAATTGAACTGTCTTTCGTGACGGTGTTTGTGGCTTTTCTAGGACAGGTGCTGAGCCGCAGAGCCTTGGCGAAGCGCTCTCCCGGGATATCTATTGCGGATATGTCGATGCGCAGTTGGATAATGCAGCCCGGTACCCTCCTCACACATTGGGAGAATGTCAGATATTCTGCTTTGACTATCTTAGGAATGACTGCATTAACCACCGCATGGATGGCTATGCTTTATACCACTGCGGCTGAGACGTTGGGTACGTATCGGAACCGGGCTGAACTGTATCTTGTGACTTATACTCTCTAGTTTCCCCAAAACTTAAGTTTGGACCGATTGAAGAAACCACCCTCTATGGTCAAATAGCCTCCAAATTTGCAAACCCGCACTACTTAGCTAGCAAATGTCTAACACCCATCAGCCGAGAAACGGATCCTATGCACGCTGGCGCTACCTGTATGGAACTTGCTCATGTCGGGCAGAGCTACCATAATTATCAGCAATATACTGCTCAATGGGCCAGCATATCCCGATCTGGCAACTTCTCCCACTCGTTATCAGAACGGATCAAGCCAGTTGGGACCTGGTACGATAATACCACAGTGACTGGAAGCTGGATTGACGTACAAAACATGACGGAGCTCTCGAAGAAGTACGGAAGATTAGTCAACATTGCCACTGCCGCCATGCCTCATTCCGGAGTGTTCAAAGCTTCCAGGGACCCTCGCAACAGCCTTCGACAACCCTCCGCTTCCGCCGGCCTCGGAGAATTTACCATCTCTGCTTCTGTGGCGTCTCCTGCGGTTCAAGTGACCTGTGTCGGCATGACTGAGGATGAACTGGCGCCAATAATTTATGAAAAATGGCCGAACTCTCTGCCTCTAAACATTTCAACATGGTTGACAACCGCGCCCCCTGATATGGTGCACTCGCCTGACATGCTGAACGAGACGGTTGTAGATGAAATATTTGGCTTCGGCAAAAAGGGATCTCAGCGCGCACCTATATTCCCGAAACTACCTAAGCCGTATAACACGATGCTCAACGGAACTGGCAATTATCCTTTGGATTCTTTATATATACTTGGGGCATCTGCTCCCTCTTCGAAAGGTGCGCCCTACGTGCTTTGTGGTCTTCGCGGTGGAATGACATCGAAATGCTCGACGTACTATCACGCCGCGGCAAGTGGAGGTCAATTGAAAGCCAATTGCGGAAAGGAAGGGGGTGAACTAGCATATTATCGAACGACATTGAGATCTGTGTCATTGGTCATCGACCCAGACTGGAAAAATGTTGCGATGCAATGGGCCAGCGCAGTTAGTTTGGGAACGGGTATCAGCGACTCGAACTCTAGCAATGCTAGACTCCTCATGCAGTTGACCGGCGGCTTCAACAATGAAACTAAGGAATACTCCCTCGAACCCCAGACGCCATCATTGGCAGAGGCGTTGGCAGCCATGTCAAGTTCCACTCTCCTAATGAGCGTGGAAGACAGCACGTTTTCTCAGAATTGGACATATGGTAACGATCCAGTGATCGAAGATGGCAATACCGTTTATGAAGACTTCAAGGCCACCATCCGCGCTAGTGAATACGCATCTGGTGGTACAGAGCCATGGCAGGGCGTTTTTTATATCGTCCTTGTCCATGTGTTTCTAACGAATCTCATTTGTTTGGGCTACATGTACTTTGATATTCGCGGGGCTCAAGTGACTGATTTTACGGAACCCCAGAATATATTTGCTCTGGCCTTGAATAGTCCATCGAATGATCGATTACAGGGCGCATGCGGCGCGGGGCCTGAAGGTCGCCAACTGAGTGAGCGTTGGAGGATTGAAATGGACGAGCGCGATGAACATTATTATATTACCAACAAAAGAAACGCCGCGGGGTTAAGGAATCGTACAGTTGGCCGTAATGAAGAAGGTGGTGATCTTGAGGCATCGCCGCAGGGAGGTTCGCTTAGCCCAGCCGTGAACGAGTATCGAAAGCTGCAAAGGTCAAGGCATTCATTTACTCTGCTGTCCTGATTAGGTGGCTTTTCAATCGGGGTACTGGCTGGACCTTTTTACAATTTTATTCTGAGTACATCACAGCGGGGATCTTGGTGCATTTGCTCGGCTTTGGGTTTCAATTTATGGATTGTTGAGGACAAGGATATGAAAGGCGCATCTATGATTGCTATTTGGATGAACAATAATACCAGCAAGGAACTCTTGGATCACGATGATGCCTTGAACCAAATTTAGTTCATAAAGTTGGCATCACGGAACATTGGCTCTTGCAGTCTCAAACAGGCAATAGAAAAGTCCACAGCAATCGAATAGGGACAGAATTGAATATCGAGAATAAATCAGACAGCTAGCCCAAGAGGCTTAGAAATCACATTCTTTTCCAAGTCCAAACAATTGTATCTTTCGACTAGTTAACTAGTTAATGGTTTCACAGATCCCATATCAATGATGCGGAGAAATCGATGAACGTGCTATGTTTCTCAACGGCCAAGTAGCTAGTATGCTAGTGTGGAGCTCTAGAGACAATTGTATGGGAAGGAATGTACGAAGTACTCCATGAAGGGCTTGATGTTTGTTGCATGCTCACTAGGATCCGGATAGGCTGCGCCGGAAAGTTGTAGGTCCGCTCCAGGGGAAAGAGGCTAGCTAGAATTAGTTAGTGACCTGGTCTGGAGAGTTGTTAATTAGCGCCTTGGCGGCTCTGGACATTCGCAGCAACTGCTCTGGATCAGTCGACTTATGCCTCGTCCATCAACATTGCTTCCTCGAGAAATTATTCTGTATGCCGAGTCCAAAATGCCGTGCACAGTGTACGCCATGTAGCAGCAGTAATTCTTTACTCAAGTACTTAGCTGGCACTGGGAAATACCTGCTTTCCCGTGCGACGAGGAATAATGAGAATCTGGCTTTTCGACAGTCGGAATAGCAAACAGGTGGGATAAATACTAATAGTTTCTTCAACCTGCGCTCATTCAACAATTGGCTGCATGGCCCCTCGAGCTCCTGTTTGCCAAATGATTCTAAGTCTTTCAACTTTCTTTTTCCGTCTCTAAATCTAGATTATGCTCGGTTGTGGACACCAGTGCTTGATCTGAGTGTATACTTGAAATATCAAAGCTCCCATGAGCCAAAATCTCATTTTGACCGCGATCCAGACATTTCGATTGAATCACAGGAAACGAACCATACCTTTTCAGCCGCGGTCAATTCATTGAATATTGGGGCTTACTCTGTATGCAGCGGATTGAAAAGCATTTGTCGTGACTAGAACGCTCGGTTGCGGGATTGGTTTTGGCTGACGCGGAAGATGATGCACTAGAGCATCTGCACGAGTTTATCGTTGATTTTACTGACTTTGAATTGAATTTGACATGCGCTGCATTTATTTATTGGTTAAGCATGAATCAGTATCGCATCTACGAGGGGCGGTTGTTCGGACGCCGTATGTTGCCACATTCGGTAATTTGCACGACACCCCTTCGACTACCTTAGACTATCTGAGACCCCTCTTCTCGTTCGGTCTCAACCTCCCTCTCTTCACCATTGGACCTCAATTTTGTGCCACAGACACCCTTCCGATTGATACCCAACGCTGGGCCGAGCAGCTATAAAACAAGTTCATGACGCTACGTTGAAAGCGTATCTTCAATCCACAACCAGATGGACCAAACCAGAGCACTCGACAACAGAGAGCCGCCTTCACTCGATCACAATGATGACGTCGCGTTGTCTCCAACATCTAAAAAGGTTCTCGAACAATGTTCTGTGAACCTTACAGCCTCGCCGGGCAAAGGGTTTCGAACCCTTGCACGCCCTCCTAGTTCCGGGCTCGATAGCAGCTCTGGGTTCTGCTTTGCAAGGCCTACTCATGCGGTTCCAAGCTTTTCTACAAGACCCCAGTCAAATCCCGCAGCAGGAGGTAGTGGGATAAAGGGAAGATTACCGCTTTCTAACGCCGACAAGCGAAGCTCAGGGGAACAATCAGAGCAAAGATCGAGTCAGAAGTAAGTTGGATAATAACCGAGCCCGAAACTCCTTGCTGATTTCTTCCTGTTTCCCTAGTGATATAGTCGTCACAGCGGAATCTCGGCAGGAAAAAATCAGCAGCCAGCCACAACCTGCCCACCCTGATCAATTAATTGAGCCAATGAAACCTTTTGCTGCACGTTCGATCGCGGCGAATTCTCGATCAAGGAGTGGTTCTCCAAAGAGCCACGGCGATGAATCAAAGTCGCATTCACAAAGAGAGGCCGTAAATCATGGTTCGATCATGGAAAGTGGTAAAGCACAATGTCCTTAGTCTTTTATTCTTGCTCCATAGATTTGCTGACGCCTGTTATAGGCCCTACTGCAAGCAGCCCCCCATCAGAGCCAGTAAGAAGATTACTGTTCTTGCTCTTTAGTGCCTCCAGTTGTGCTGACAGGAACCTTCTTTGCCTAGGTCCGCCAATCAAGCTGTACAACTGCGATGTCTTCCAATGGCAACGCCGTTGAAATAAGTGAGTCGAAGACGAATGAGGACAGAAGGTCATCTCCTTACCGGCCGCATTCCTGTTCCCCATCCATTCAAGGTTCCCCAGCATCAAAAGTCACAAAACATTACACCCCGCAACGCAAAGGTTTTAACAGTAGACCCATTGCGCACCCATCAGGATTACCATCTCAGCCCTCCGAGGAGGATCTGTTTCATCTCCTAATCCATAGGCTAAAAAGAAGGGAGCAGGCTGAAGCCGCGAGCGCCGCATTGAGGGAAGAACTGGAAAGAAGACTCAGAGAAACCAATGAGGAGAATGAAAATTTAAAGGGTCAGTTAAGTCAGGCGGAAAAACTCCATAAAGCACAAGAAATGGAGAAAGCTGCTCAGCGAAATCTCATCGAGAGATGGAAGATTAAGCTCAGTAAGCTCCGGAACCTCATTACAGTCATTGGAAATGACCATGAGACTCTCCGCAAAGACGGACAGCTTCTGAGATCCGCGCAAACCGCACTTATTAGGGGTAAACACCATATACAAGCTGACTTAAGACGACTGAACAACAGCGCTGATCAAGTGAATAAGCTCATCATTAAGCAGAATGCTGAACTTGCCAGCGTGCGACCGAAGCTTGTTGAACTGGAACATTCGCTCTTATTGAAGGATAGCAGACTTAATAGTAACGAAAAATCTCTCGCTCGAGAAAGGAGTCGAACCGCCGCCCTGGAAAACTTCATTCGCAATCATTCGAGCAAAGGCCTAAAACAAATGGCATCACTTTTACAACACCAAGCCGAAACATCCTCTAAGATAGAGCACTGTTATGAAAATTTTAGTAACCTCTTAACGAATTCCCAGTCTGCCATCAAATCAGAGCTAGAACTCCCGCTCAAAGCATGCTTAGAATTGTTGAGCGCGCTTACCGCACGGGAGTTCGTCGATCCGGCCGTGTTGTCCCAAGTTAATTCCAAATTACAAACCATTATCGCGAAGTTCGTATGTCGCTCTTTTATCCGGATGAGAGCTGACTATCATTAGATTGGAGTCCCAAGACCAGACAGTCGCCGGCTGCTTAGTAGATCGTTTTGACCTTCAAAGCCAGCAATCTTCTAAGATTGTACAACAGCTTCAGGAGTTCGACACTTCATTGAAGGCCTCTCTTAAGACTGAAAACGAGTTAGCCCAGGTTAAGTTAGCTAATGGAAAGCTTCACGAGAAGATTAGGGCTTCAGAGGAAACGTTGGCCCAGCTCAACGCTAACAATGTCGAATTGAAAGAGCGAGAAACCAGCCTTTATAATGACACCAAAACTCTCAAGGCGCAAGTAGAGTGGTTGCAAACCCAAGTGGCTGACATTTCTAAGATCGCCGAAGATAGCCACGAATTGTCCAAAATGCGAGTACAGTTTGAGGAAACATCAACAGCTTTGAACGAAGTGACAATGAACCTGAAAGCTAAGGAGAACGAAGTGACCAGGCTTGACACGAGCTTGTCTGAGATGAAGAGTAGTCTCGAATGTGCCGAGATGAAGATATTAACCCTCGAGGCGGAAAAAGCTAAATCTGAAGAGTATGCAGTTAATATTGAGAATAAAGTCAGAGCTGAGTTTACAAAGGCAAGCCTACTGTCAAAGGAACAAAACCGTGCATGCTTTGAACAGCAATTGCATCAGCTTAAACGTGAGAAGGCTCTTGCAGAGAAAAGCGTGGACATTCTCAAGCAGCAATCTGAAGCACTGAAATCAAAACTGGTACGTAGCATTGTACTTGTAAGGCTGCACTGTGCTAATATAAACTAAGGCAGCGGCTCATAGCTCGAGCCATTCATTTGAAGCCACGGTAAGTATATTTCTTCTATCAATGCTGCCTGGTTTCTGACGAGTATTTAGGTGTCAGAGAACGAGGAAAAGATCAAAGCCTTGAAAGAGGGCCTTCAAAAAGAAATCGCGAGCCGAGATGAGACGATAGCAAAACTACAAGAAGAACATATCTCGAATAAACGAGAAATTGAAAATGTAAAACTAGATCATGACAGAGCCGTTGCTGAGAACAATAGGCTCAAGGCAGATCTATCTGAAGCCCAAGCTACGATAGGGAACACTTGCCAATTATCCCTTCTTGAAGAAAAGTTTGATCTCATGCGGGATGAAGGCATTCAAAAAGACGAAAAGATAACCTCACTGACGAACGAACTCGCTAACCTCCAGGCTAGTATCAAAGAGACAGCAATATTGCACATGGAAAATGCCAAAGATGCACAGGGACTTAAGGATTTGCGTGAAAAGCTTGATGAGGCTGAAAAACAGAATGCAGAATTGACTTACCGCCTGAAACAGAGCGACGACGATATAGCTTGTCTTACGGCTGAAATGGAATTATCCAAACAAGAAGGTACTGCTATGGTTCCCGAAGCCAACGCCCAGAATGAAGATGGTAAATCTCAGCAAACGCAAGACGACCTGGAAGGAACGAAGCAATGTTTGTCCAGAATCGAGAGCCTGCTGCGGCAATTTGGTATTCTTGACGCGAACGAAACGGTTTCCCATGCATGGGATAAAGTTGAAGCTCGATTGGCAAATTTCTCTAGTTCGTCGGAATCTTGTGAGATGTTATTAGATGCTGACAATGATGGAGCCAGTGGTGAAGCACCTTTGCAAAGCCTGAAGCAAGCTGGGAAAAGGAAACGCACTGTGAACTTGACGCCTGACGCAAAAAGGGTGTCAGGGCGGCGTTCGAGCCATGAATACAAAACCACCCAAGTTGTGTACCGCAAAGAAAGTATCAGCAGGAGCGTCTCTTGTTCTCCTTTGAAATCACCTACACTAAAACGCCCTTCTTCCCGAAGAAAACAAACCTCAAAGGCTATATCACGTATTAAGCCATTTTCGCAGGTCCAATGGAACCTTGAGGGTCACCAAAGCTCGCCTCAGCAAAGTATCGGCGACTTGAATAAGATTTTGTCTGGCCCAATAGACGAACTCTCGAAGGCCACTAGTTTTCTTGTTCCATCGACACCAAAGGTCCAGAGCGAGAGTACCACCCGCCTTTTCGAAGTCCCACCCAGCCCAGTCAAAAATGTCAAGGTAGGGTCGCATATGATGCAGCGAAAACACACCAATGAGTTACCACGCAAGTCCCAGGAGGAACGAACGGTGTTACAATGCGATGACTTAAACGGCCTAAGCCAAAGGAAAGACTTAAAAACCCCGCCTAGCGGCATTTTTAAGAATACTGCACTCCCAACGATGGAAGGGAGAGGGCTTCAAGATATGCATACTCCTTCGAGAATAGATAATCCAAAGAAGAAAGGAACCGCCGCCCCGAGACGCCAAACACGCACATCATCCCAATATTTCAAGTCAGCTGATACACCAAGTACAATTCTATCGAGTACGCGTCAGACATGGGCTGTCACCCAATCAACCGAATCTGCAGTGAGTTATAGCCGACCTCGCCGATATGGACGGAGAAAAGGTAAGCTCCCAGCCATACCTCGGGGGAAGGGTGGTGCTAAGTTCAACAGGAGATTTGTACAACAATAGGTTCAAGCAAGACTGTCCGAAGTAAGGGCGCAAAGGCGGGAAGTTTGCCCAAGAAATCCCCGCGACAAGGAAGGAAGACAAGGAACAAAGTTAGTCGATATTAACTTGCATTAATATAGACGATATGTAGCTTGAAGAGGAAGATGATAATATGAGAATATAAGTTAGCGGTCGAATAAGAGTCTCTATTCCCAAAAAGGAGAACGCCCCCTAAAATGCAGAAGTAAAGTACAGCTAGAAAACATGTTGCAGAATATACATGTCCGACTGCGCGGAGGGTTCTCTTTGTTCCCCAACCCCGAACTCCAACCAAAAGTCATTTCGCTCCACGTATAGAGATCATGGGAAGGCTATTGTTGCTGGAAGGCGTTAAACACTGACAGAACCGAAGGTCTAGTGATATCGAAAATAAATAGCAGTGGGGCATTGCTATATTCGTGTCAAGATGGTCCCCCGATCGAAGAATCACGCAGATCACATTTTTGTGGTATCGCATACATATTCCCACCAAACGTCGACTTCTAAGCCCTGGTTCAACCATCCTCGCACTAGGACAGTGGAATACATCGATGAGCCTATTTGCCCCGTTTAACCTCGAGGAACAAAACCTTTTTCTTGACGACTGGATCGTATTTGAGCATGCTGAGCGGTCTGCTTGCGCGAGGTCGGACAAGGGTCTTATAGTAACCGGTCATGGCCATGCTCAGAAGGCGAACGGCGATAGTGCGGGATTTGGCTAAGAGGCAGAAACCACATTAGCAAACGGGATTGAATTGTTTTCTGAGCATAACCCCCCAAAATTGATTGGCGACAATTTATGCTTGGAGAAAATTTGCTTACCTTTTTTGGCCATCTTTCAGGGCCAATTGATGCCGGGTGACCGATGAGGGAGGAAATAGATGAAATATTCCCAACCGAATGCAAAATATCGTTTGGGTAACCGCACTTTATGGGCTTCGTCTCCTTCGAGTAGCTTTTTCACCCGTGAACGAAGTTCACATTGGTTTCGAAGGTTCCGAATCGGGAGCCACGTGACTCGCTGGTTAGCGGCTCACTAAGCAATGGATGACTAAGGGCTCTAACTAACCCAAATTCAACTTTATCTTAACGTCCGTCGGTCAATCCAACCATCTTTGTGCAGTTTGATGGCTCCCACATCTTCATGATTAATTTCCAAAGGGAATTTCTGACCTTAGTTTAGCTGAAGGTAGGTTACGGTGTGATACTCAACAGCTGCACTGAGTTTTATTTGTATTTAATACCAAAAACAGCAAGCAACATACCAATAACCGCGATGCTAGATACCACCGGCCCATGATCTGGGAGTTGTGCCTGACTGGATTCCCCAGGCAGAGAGAGGGGTATATCCAAGACGATCTCTTAGGCTTATCGTCTTGCTGCAACGTCGCGCGGCCGGTTAAACAATACCTTTCCAGGATGCCTGTTTTATCCCATGCTTTCGCCAACCGATTTTGTCAGCCATCTTGTCCTGGCCTATTATTTACAGAGACTCGAAAGACCTTGAAATGAACGCAAAGTGGAATGTACGATGAGTTCCTCGGGTTAAGGTCTGAATCTCTGAACCTTCGTGGCCAACGATGCTTCTTAGAATATCTCGCTATTGAGAGCAAACTTAAGCTCTAGAGGCCTCACGCTACTGTCCGACTGGCCCGTTAGATGGTTTTTGTCCTGAGCACAAGGTCCGACAGAATGATTGAAAATAAAATAGATTAAATTTTGACTGGCTCAGCTAGTATTCAATGTATATGATGACCATCATAGTACAGAGTAAGCCAGGATTCCTGGGTGAAGGTTGCGCAACACATCGTTGGCCCTTTTGTTAAGGATGCTTCCTGGAAATGATAGGTCCCCTATAGTGCGCGGGGAACGATAAAGATATCCCGGGATGGTAGTTTAGAAGGGAGAAAAGGAAGCAACATGAACGTAAATTGTCTCTCTTCTAGCGCGCAAGACTCGATAAGGGGTTAGTCAAAAGAGGCTGGAGTTTCCGTATCCAAATCACTCTTAAATTTTCATCCTTTCTTTTTATTTAGACAATGACGATGTAATCGTAATGGACCGAAATATCATCCAGCATTGACATTGAGAAAGGGTGGGAGTGCCTTCTGCTTCAATAGGGTTTTGGCGGGGGATCAGGCTGGCATTTGACCTCATACGGCGCCGGAAAAAATGATCTCTGTTCTTGCCACCAAGTGCCCACGAGCATTTCATCATCTGATAGACTGCAAGTTAGGCAACAGCTTGGTGCTTGAAAGCGGCGCATCAGAGGGGAAAAAAAAAAGGAAAGAAACTAAACGCAAATGGGAGGTAGCAAGAACCCGGCTTCACACCCTCTTCAGGAGAAGCCCTCAGTCGCCGTGACTCGCTAAAGACTGACGCTAGCGAAAGAACAGGTTAGCCCCCAGCCAAGCACTGCCCGTCGGAAGAATCCAACGGAGAAACCTCTGCTTTTAGCCTGGAATCCTCCTAGATTGCCGTTGTGGAGTGGCGGAGTTGTGGGAGGAATGTCAGTGCGACCGAATCGGGATCGGGCTCTTTTCTTGGCTGTGCTGGGGGTGTTTTAGGCAGCACGACGAGGAGGTTACAGAACGGGCACGGGGCAGGTGTTCAGCTGGCCAGGGATTGTTATTCAGAGCAAAAGGAAAACCAAGAGGGAGCAGATGGCATCACGGAGAATACTTTTTTTCTCTCTGGTTAACAACGTCGATTAGTACTGCTGTTGGTGAATGACTTGACGTCATGTATTTCTGGGGTAGCTAGGCTAATATACAAAGTGTATAGGTACATAGGGGTACAACGAGGTACCACATCGTAAATGTAACAAGGCTGCAACCGGCGCATTGTACAGGACAACTATCCTTCTCTCTTCTTCTTTCTTCCACTTCTTTCTCTCCGTCCTTCCCTCGACGAGTACTGATTTCTCAGAATTTCTCGTCATCGCTGCTTTGTCCCATGTGACACACCAAAATCCCACATTTAACAAAACGCGCGTTCCTAAATCATCGTGGAACGCTTGATTCTCCATACTTGGAGGCTTGAAAAGGGCATTGCCACCAACAAAATGAGTAAGTAAACCCAACAGCTATATCACTTGCTGTCAAAACAATCTCAAAAAGGTTTGTTCCGGCTTCGTTTCCTCATCGCACCCAAAATGCTATATTTGGTCGCCGCACAAGGCTGACGGCAAAAGTCATACGGGACTGTCTCGCGAGAGCTTCAAACTCTAAGTTGGAATGTTTATTTGGTCTTTTTTTTCTCTGTGGCTGAAAAGGAGTATTGTTTCAAGCATAGCAAACTTGCTTCAGCGGAGGTACTGGCCGGGAGTCTTTATTCGTGGGCTATTGTAGCGTTTCTCGGGTTCCCCAATTTCTTGAAGATCTTGATTTTGGCGGACTAACTGAGTATTGGAAACAATCCCCGTCGCTGGCTTCGGAGTATAGATAGCAGGCGTCTTTGGAGCTGAAAGCTGCACAGGCGTTGAAGGCAGTTCTTGTGTATCGTTGCGCTTGTCGTGAATGACCACTGCCTGTGCCTTCTTGACTTTGAGTCCGTACTCGAACGCACGCATTAGCTCCGCGATGACTGCAAATCTCGACGGGATAGCGATTTCTTGAGCTTGTCCACGGTCCTTTGTCGCCACGGAATAGGCTTTGCCGTCACGGCTATAAATGTATTGAGCCATATTGGTGACATGGCGAGCTCCACGTGAGCAAAGGGATTGTCCTCGTCGTATTGTTGTGTAAGGGTGCGCACATGGAGCGCAGTGCACGGCGTGACTGGCGTAACGCTCCATCACGTAGAGTTCGTCGTCAAGCGGTGGGCGACCGGTGACCGCTTTAGACTGAGGAGCCGGTTGGGAGAGGATGGACGGCATGCTGAGCAAATGACGGAGTCCCAGGCGGCGGAGAGAACGTCGCAATGCGCTTGGAAGTTCTTGCGAACCAAACGAATTGTCGAAAGGGAGCAGTTTGTTTCTGGGAGCCAGGGATATCTGCGCCTCCTGAAAGGCGGAAGTGTTCGATGGTTGTTGCTATCAATTGGGGTATGAAGACTGGGTGTGGAAATGATTGAGGAATATCTGGCACAGCGGGGGGTGCCGCTGCAGTATATATAGTCCATGGCCAGGCAGTATTATTTTTCGATGACTGCGAACCGTCATATCATCCGCACGCCAAAGAGAGTGCAGGAAGCTTAATTCATTGGAGAGTGTGGCGTATGGGGAGGGCTGGGTGCCTGGGATAGCGGTAAAGAATATCGCGCCAATACGCAGTAATACGGTAAATCGCGCATTGACGTCAGGGATTCACGGCCGCAATCACGCCGTTCGGCGTAACGTGACGGTACCAGGCATGCTGGCTCACCCTGCAGCAACGCTAACCCCAAAGAAGCGCCGACGACGTGAGTGGAACTTGCGCTTCGAGTTCCGGTGTCCATAAAAAGGCAGATTTCAGAGATCAGCTGTTGCGCCGATGACTGTGTGCAAGTCCTCCCCACTGTGCTCTCAGCTGTCTTTGCACGGAGGAGCGGGGCTCTGGAGGGCAGAGCGGAGTTGCGCTTCCTCACGCGGCATCCACCTCAACTCCTCAAGGCAGAGCAGTTTGGGTTGGCTTTCAACGAGCACAGACGCGAACTCCAATCATGACGCATCATTGAAGAGCAACGATTTGCAGTCACTGCAGAACCCGTAATTGCCCAATAAAGTGCGGAGAACCAGGGAGGGTGGTGGGGGAGATGCATCCTGCATCACAGACAGCGGGTATGAGTCAGGCAGCACTTCGGCTTTGAGCGAATAAGCCCATCCCAATAGAACTTGTTGGCTTCATGCTAAGAACACGCACTGTGCGCTTCTCTCCATCTGGCATCCACCCGTCATAAGGCTGTGCCACTGGTTTAGCCTGACGTGCAGCCACATTGAGGCTGATATGTTTCTCCACCAATCCGTTCATCATCGTATTCAGGAACAGGAGCTCGAAAAGCGGGATCTAGCATGATGCAGGGAGCGGTGCAGCTTCCCCAGTATGCAAGTTTGATTCTGCAATTGTCTTTTCACGCAGCTTGCAGTGTCTTTTAGATTGAGGAGTTGTTGTTCTCAAGCCGTCCCTCGACTTTTCGCGCTAACCGCAAGGAGGTTAGAGTACCCGTGAGCCTCCCCTAGTCCTGTCTAGGGAAAGCGTCAACAACAGCCACACCCACTAGCCTGTCACCAGCCACAACATCGCATCCGGCCGACTTCAACTCTTGTTGTCTCATGCAACGGACAGCAGGCAGTTCTCCGAGTCTGCTCCCACAGTGCTCCCAATGTTTCTTGGTGTATGAACAGAAAAGGAATCTGCTCCAGACTATGCAAGGCCCCCAGAAGAATCCTCTTCCCATTGATCACCCCAGAAGCAACTCTTGAAACGGTCAACGTTGTGCCAACCGCAGTTGATAAGACCTCTATGCTTTAAGATTCCCAGTTTCTAGTACCCGAATGATACTAGGAAAATCCACCTTTACTCTTGTGGTCTCTATTTTTTGAGCATACATCAACTAGTTTGTCAAGTACGGCTCTAACCTCTGGCGTATTGACTCTAGTTTTCCGCACGAACTCTGGCAAAGTTGGTTACCCAAGGAGAGGCTGTGCGAAGGTCCCCGTCCTTTGCGGGTACAATGTCAGATGATTCTCAAGGGTCGTCAAATGGAAACGGCTGATTTGCATATCCCTGACTTGCTCTAGAGCTTGGGCAATGACAATTCTCATTTTAGTCCATCTCGGCCGTCAATCACACACAGCGGGACAAAGTCTTGCCCTTCTTGCCACTGAAAACGGGATTCCGTCTTGCGTATTGGATAATACCTGCTCCGCACTACCTTTGGCTTCCGGCCATGGGCTCATGTTGGCTTAGTGGAATGCACGCGGATTTACCCGATGCCGCTGTTGTAAACAACATTACACTGTAATGAGCATCACCTTGGAACAAATCAGCGCTACTGTTAATCCATCTCAGCTCTCAACGACTGAGTGGGGTACCGCTACCGCCGTGATCTCCTTTCCTTGCGAGCCTCATTGGTTAGGAAGTTCTGTGCGTTATTCTCCCCAAGTATCTGCAATACGGGATTGGGAAACCGGGTTATTTGAGCGAAACGATGTCGAGGTCATCCAGTATTGTCCTAGCAAGCAAGCCCGCCTTGCTGCCTGGCCGGGGTTCGCAACCCTCGCCCGCACTTACCTTTTCTGCCCCCTCTTTTATGTGGCAAATTGATTCCAATTTGCTTTCCTTCACTAGCCAAATAATAGGCACAAGTTTACCCTAGGCGGTTTTTCGGATTCCGGGTGGTTACCCTACTCGGTTTTGCACTTTTCTTTTTGCGTACGTCGGCATTTCCGTGGATCTGTTGCTTCAGCCATGCCGTCACATGCATGCATTCCCACACCCATCTTTTTGTCACGGCTCTGATATCTTAACGGTTGCCGTTTCATTCGCCAAATATCATTTGTCAAAGCAGACGGCCAACGGGCTGGACTCTCAGCGCGATTGTTTCGCACAATATCTATTGTTATTTCCACTTCGTCGCTAAGGAAAACTGGCTGCTACCCTCTTTTGATTACAAATACGACAGTCCATATCCAAGTATACGCAAAGCCAGCCGTTTTAGGCACGGCGCCTGCGGTATACATCCGTCGCGCTCCATGCTGAAATAACTCCGGGGACTGAAATATGGGTGTCATAACTTACTTGCTGACTTACAAATGGAATTTCCGCTATCGTTGGGGAGGACCGTTTGTCAAGGCACTGCGTATCAAGAATTCACTTCTCGAGCAATACAAGTCTGTATTTCTTTAAGCTTCCGATACAAGCGGTTATCGTCGCTATTATCATGTACAGTACATATTTCGTAATGCATTTGAAGCCGCTGGTTAAACTCCTGAAAATACGATAAACAGACAAACTGACCAAAGTCAACCATCAGTGGAAAATCACAATGCCCCCAGAATGGATATATAGCAGACTAAAATTGGAAAATAAAATAAAAAAGATAGAAAGGACGCAATACAGATATATAACCCAGATATTACCATAGAAATAGCCAAAAAAGTGAGTTATAAAACAAGGCTTAAAAACTCTCTCCCTCTCACTACGGTAGAAATGTGCCAGGGCAGCACATCATCGCCTTGAGCATGGATAATACCCTTTGTCCTTGCCAAGGCTGCCAGGTCGCGGTACATACGCAATATATCCTTCAATAGAAGCTCAGTTGGGATGCGGGCGTGTGTAAAGACTACATTTACACAGAGAGACGCTATTCCGTCTGTGTTGCTGGTCCCGCCGCGGCGACGAATGAGATATCCACTAGCGAGTGCTGAGTGATAGCTGGTCAAAGAGGGGGATGTATTGAGACGATGTGACAGTGTGATGGACCATGTTTCGTCGGATTTATCGACGAGAATGGTTTCGGAGTCAGGAGTGTCGAAACTTTGGGGAACAGGGGTTTGCGCTTGTTCTGCGGATGATGGAGGAGGAGTTGGTGCTGCGGCGGATGGGTCAGGAGAGGGAATACCAGGGTTCGGGGTTGAGGCTGGTGTTGAGGAAGTAGGTCCCGTATATGTGCTGATTTGCAGGGGTGGCGAAGGGAGTTTGAGATAGAGACATGGCTTGACATTGACGCTGAGGAGTGTTAGCTCTATTTTTGTGGCGTTTGTTTGGTTATGGTGCTGTGCTAGCGATATCCAGGCTGCAAAAGGATAAGTTAGCAAAAGCATAGACAGAAATGAAAGCGGGTGTCGTTGCTTGATGTGAGAAATACCTTCTGTTTCGTTCAGTTCTACTGGCTCATCCGTAACTACCATAACACGCCAGTAGGCGTGAGATTTGCCTATGATATGCCGGGTCACGTCCCAGATATCTGCTCTAATCTCCGACATTGGCCTCGAGATATTAGAATTCTTTTCACGCAAACAGTATGTCATAGTCAACTGGTCTCGTCCCAAATTATCCGTCCATGCGGTAGTAACCCAACGCTGATCAAGACTTTTAGAATATGCGATATGAAGGGAATGCCTTTCTGTCAAGGGAGATCCGGGATCCAGCGCCAGTTTGAACGGGACAATCTTCGGGATTGATTTGGCCAAAGTAAATGGCGGGGCACAACTGAGGATGTCGGAGGATCGGCTTTTTGGTGGGCAGCGAGAATACACTTCAAACGCCAGGCGCAAATAATCTAATTGCGAAGGTGTCACAATTGACGTCAAAGATGCGATAAAATCGAATGGGAGTATCTGCAAAGCGATCTCATTAAGTTGAGTAGTATGTTTGTCAAAGTTCGATATATACTTCCGGAAAAGAGAGAGAAACGCTGTGCAGATATCCACGATTGCAGCTTCATAAGGAAATGGATTGACAATGTATATGACTATGGTCTCACCGCCCGGAGGTAGGCTAGCTATAACATCTCCTATACAAAGATTAGAATATGCGTGGAAGATAGGAAAGGTGGCTCTTACCAAGGCGTTCGCAAGTATACCGTAACTTACTCATTACCGCAGGATATTCTCGACCCCCAATCGGGTCCAAGCCCCAGGAAATTAACCCTTTCGAGCCTCGAGGTCGAGAATGCTGCCCAAAATTGGCACTTGAATATAGTAAACCAAACCTATCAAGAAAGGCATCCGCGCTTTCCACTGCGCTCTCTGGGTGAATGCAAAAAGCAACTATGTCTTTTTGCCCTTGTGTAGGCTCTAACCCGAATGACTCCCAGAAGAATACAGCAGGAGCAAGGACTTCGAGATCGTATTTCCCGCGATGAATCCTAATGTGGGGTGAATCCAATTTTGACAAGGAGCCAACGGTTGCGTATCGAAAGTCTTTGCGTAAACCTTGCATTGAGTTTTCATCATCGATTGATGTATAGCGCTTGAGATCGAAACTGCTGAATTTACCGTGCCAGTCGTCCTTCTCCGTAGAGCAGAATAACAAAATGTTCTGGTAGTCATTTTTTATTCTAGAACACTCATAGCGGTTGTGATTTAGGCTGGATTGAGTAAATTGATCCACCACGAGCTGTGCGACTTGGACCAAATCCCCTTTCTGGGGAAGGACAGGGTAGTATGCAGCAGCCAATGTAAAGTAGCCGTCCAAAGACCAGTCTGTCGAAGCAAATAGCAACGTTCGCAAAAATGCTGACACAGTTACGTCCATACCCATATTGGAGATTTCCGTGTTGACAGTCGACAGCTCCATGGGTGACGGTGTAAAATCTTTATCTTTAAAAAGCTGACTGTTATCCTTCGTACCTAGAAATAAACGTAGGCCAGTATCACAACGATCTGGGGATATATTGCCGGGTTCACTGTCATCATCACAAGATTGATTGGAGGAAATTGAACTGGACTGCACATCGCCCTCCGACCGATTCCCAGCTGTACTTTCCCAAGAAAGATGACGCTGTTCTTTGTTCGGCCATTGTGGAATGCCAACTGTCGGTATATCAGATAAATTCATTGCCGCTCGATCGCTAGGCTTGGGGCTCTTGACTTCAGGCAAAAACCAAAATTTTCCGTCCAACCTATACTTTCCATCAGAGAAATTCAAATTCTCTCTAAATAAAATCGGTTCGTAACCCGTTCTGCTTTTGCCTTTCGTTGTGCGACCGCTGGGGCTTGACGGGTTTGGGGAAAGGCTACTAAGGCAGCTCGTAGATAGAATATCGCGTATATTCATGGGGCTAAGAGGCCTGTGTGGAATCACTGGCTCATAGGAGCTACCGTCGTTCAGTTCACCTAAATTTTCTTGTATAATGACCTTGGCGGGAGGCGAAACTAGAGATTGCTCGCCGGATTCTGTGTTATAACCCCCTTCCTGCTCCTCGGCTGAGAGAGGTGGGAGCCCAACGGCATTGTCAACAGGCTGAAGGGTTTCAGCTTGGAGAGCCTCAGGGGGGTCTTCGAACAGATCGTTAGTATTTTGCAACGACATTTCCATTCCTTCGCCCGGAAAATTTGTAAAATCCGGTTCATCAAAAAAATTAAAATCAGCTTCGGTAACTTCCTTCGCCTCGAGATTATCATCCATTTCATCAAACGGATTGTCGTCTACAGTGGTATCGTACATACCGGACCCAATTTCCAATGCAGGCGCTGTCGCGTCAACAGCAGGCAATGAAGTTGGGGTCGCCCGATACCCAGTTTGTGACAAGCCGGCACTAACTGGCCCGGGTTTGTCTTGCACAAGATTGTTTAATCCAACGGCGCTAAATGCTGGAAGCTTATCAACAGAGGGAACAGGGGTAAATCCGGCTCCTGTAACGCCACCAGGGGGAGTGGGATAAACAGCACTCGCGGAGCGCTCATTGAAAGTTATTTTGTGAGCCAGACTGGCAAAGGTTTCTGGGCTGTTGATCTTTTCTGGTACCACCGCAAGCCTAGGCTGCAAATCCTCGGGTTCCTGGGTTTCAAGCGCTGTCATCAAAACTTGAGGCGATTCGCCTGAGTCCATCTCTTTGAACCATTTTTCTGCAAATTTCAGAGGATCTAAGGTTGTGGGATCGACAAGTTCAGCTCCTCTAACATGGGCAAGAGGACGTTGCGCAGATCGTCGAAAACATAAACGAGCAGGCCAAAGGAATCTTTTATATGCAACCGAACTTTGATTCTCGGCCCCAGACCCAGCCCATTGAGGCTCTAGCGGCCTATGCGCTTCGACTTCAATCCATATTTCTATTCCTGGTTCGTCCAGGCAAAGGCCAAAACCTTGGAGGTGCCTATAAACAGCTACTTTCCATTCTTTTGGATATAGCGGACTTGTCCCTGCTGAAAAATCGAGGTTACCGTAGTCACGAAGTGACAGATCCCACTGCGAGCTGCTAGATTTCATAGGATCGGGCCCGATATATCGACAAACGGAGCCCGTTGGTGCTAACCATATGTCCTCATGCTGGGATACGCCATCCATTGTCTCAAGACCTTTGATTAAGGATAATTGTTGCAATCCCAATTGTGGGATGTTTCGCCAAGAAATAACGAGAGACTTGAAACTAAGTTCGATATTAAGAGTCGACAAAAGCGTTGTATACCCTTGCATGGGATTGGCATTACTACCTCTAGTAGGAACGGTCCCAGGGTGGGAAACGGTAATGAGTGTCCTTTTACCCAGTGGTATTGCCCCGTGTAATTGTGTGGCACGGAGCGAAAGCAAGCCTGCGACAGCGGATGTAAATGCCCTATAAAACGCTGAAGTGGTCAGATTTTCTCGCCTAATAGAATAACTTTCTTTCGGATTCGCAAATTTTTGTTGCGTTAGTGGAGAAATGATGGCGCTTTGGGGTTCAGTCATGAGGCGCTTGATGAGGTAGCCCAATGGCGTGAATTCTGTGTGGAAATCTGTAACTAAAATCAGCACATCCCATATTTATCATCCCAATGAAAGTTAGCTTACGCCTAAGCGTCATCATCCCAATCCGAAGGATATTAAAGGAGGGATCATTTTCCACGATGGAAAATGATTGGAGCTGTTCAAACGCAGCATTATGCGAAAAGATCCACAGCCCGTCGCCACCAGGAACAGCATCAACAAGACAGCCTTGATCCCGCAGTGCAAGGGCCACAGATTCAAGCTCAATTGCAGAAACCGAGGCTGAACGCCCTGGCCCTTCACTTCCAGGGGATGGTGCGTGGCGAGAATCAATGCCGTATATTCTCCAGTGGATGGTGGAATAGATTTCCTAGATACTTAGTTGGTATTGAAAAAAGATTCGGAGCAAAACGGGGTAAAACCCACGGTCATTCGATAATTGGTTACCGCCCCCGCTGGGAACTCCATTGTGCATAAAGATGTCCTTGTCACCACTTATGGCCGCCATGGAAAGGGGGTCACATGAAGATAGATAGAATAGGAAATGGCGAGAATTCATTTCCAAATACAAACAGGGCACCTTGGTGCCTATTTTGAAAAGCTGCAATGGCCTTGACTTCCAACGTTTTCGTGGAGCCTCCGCATTGTCAGGAGTGCAACGTCCGATATCAGATTGCCAAGGCACGGCCAAACGAGGAAGTAGGTCTTTTTGGAGTAATCATAGAGAGGATATAATGTGATTCCCAAAGCCAGAAAGCTATACAAGCCAAATAACCAAATTGGTATCGGGTATCATTGACCGGGAGAGGGATCTGAACGACCGACGTGAAGTCAAGAGGCCGATATCAGATTTGAAGATGCTCGAAAAGGCCATGGTCCCATGGGCCTTGGCGTGTGACCATGCCGAGTCGGGGCTAGTGCCCGCCTCGAGCTTTCTCGATGTCTTGGCATCAAATAAGTTATTTTTCATCGGCAGAATTCAAGCGAGAGCTGCCCTGGCCGAGAAACAGCTGAGACAACAGGCGTGAGAAGGTTACAGCGATGAAGCTCACCAATCACTCCGCAGTCCCTGTTTATACCATCTCTGGTTCTTCCACTGCCCGCCCGCTTCCAGAATGGTTGGCCCGGAGACGGAAGCGAAGTTTGAAGACCGATCCCGAGTATGCGAACAGAGTCGAGTTACTGCAGGATTTCGAGTTCGAAGAAGCTAGTCAGTGCATTCGAGTTAGTGAAGATGGGCAGTGGGTGATGAGCACCGGTACGTGTCTGGATTCCCTTCGGACCTTGGAAAAATAAAACAACGATAATAACTGGTGGGAAATTAGGGACCTACAAACCCCAAATTCATACACACTATTTGCCGCATTTATCTCTTTCATGGGCGCGTCATACTATTTCCTTGAATACGACCTTCCAGCTTTTATCCTCCGATTACTCGAAATCTTTGCATTTGCAGGCGGATCGATCGCTAGAATTCCACACTCCACAAGGATGCCACTATACGATGCGCTTACCTAGATACGGCCGCGACCTGATGTACGATAGGCAGTCAACTGAGGCACTGGTCCCGGCAGTAGGTGTCAACCAAGATGGCACGGGTGAAGTGTTTCGACTGAACTTAGAGCAAGGTCGATATATGCGCAGCTATGAAGTCGATGTAGGTGGTGATGATTTTACCTCAGCCGGCGGAGGAGCTTTGCAGGGTGGGATCAACACAGGGAGCGTAAATACTGGGGCTATTGCTGAAGAAAGCCATAATTTATTGGCATTCGGAACTTCGTTGGGGACCGTTGAATTGTGGGATTCGAGGGCAAAGGGAAGAGCTGCTGTTCTCCTGCCCCCTTCGGACTCTCAACTTGGAGAAGGGAAATCTGAAATCACTGCCTTGCGATTTCACAGATCTGGCTTAACCCTCGCCACTGGCTCGTCGCAAGGACTCATTTATTTATATGATCTACGCTCGCCAGTTCCGTTGCTTAAAAAGGACCAAGGATATGGCTATCCGATCCACACCTTAGACTTCCTCACACCCACTACTTCCAGCCGCGAACAAACATCCGACCCGAAAATCCTTTCATCCGATAAACGAATTATTAAAATCTGGGATGCCAGAGACGGCACGCCATGGACTTCAGTCGAGCCTGCTGTTGACATTAACTGCGTTGCTTGGTGTAAAGATAGCGGGATGATATTGACAGCAAACGAAGGAAGACAACAACACGCCTTTTTTATTCCTCAACTCGGCCCAGCACCCAAATGGTGTGCGTTTCTGGACAATCTCGTTGAAGAAATGGCAGAGGACCCGAACGACCCGCATGCTTTTAACACTGGCCAAGCTGGCTCTGTTTACGACAACTACAAATTCTTGACAGTACCGCAATTACGGTCTCTGAACCTGGAGCATCTCATTGGAAGAACCACACTTCTGCGGCCTTATATGCATGGTTATTTTGTGGCACAGCGACTATATGAAGAGGCGCGTTTAATTACCAATCCCTTTGTTTGGGAAGAAGAACGTGCGAAACGGATCAAGGAGAAGATCGATAAGGAGCGAGAAAGCCGGATACGCGGAAGCAAGAAAGTCTCCGTCAAGGTCAACAAGAAGCTGGCAGAGAGACTCCTGGAGAAGGAAGAGCGCCATGAAAGACGCCAGGCTCAGAGAATCCTTGCCCAAGGCGGTGAAGGAGGCAGCGAAAGCACTGTCAAGCCTGATTCAACTTCTGCGAAGAACGGCTTACTTAATGATCCTCGTTTCGCCAGATTGTTCGAGGATGAAGATTTCGCTGTGGACGAGACGTCGAGAGAGTTCTTGGCTTTGAACCCAAGCGGCACAATTGCTCCGACCGAAAAACGCGAAAGGGGACTAACGGCTGCGGAAGAAGAAGCTATCGAGGAGGTCCCGGGTTCAAGTACCGATGAATCATCAAGCGAAGATGAAAGACCAGTTAAAACCAAATCCTCCACATCTATATCTACATCCTCTTATAAACGAACCAAGCGCGCTCCGCCAAAGATGGAAGTATCGTCATCTTCTCGGACAGCCAAAGCTCGCGATCGTTCATTTGAGTCCAGAGTCCAGAAGACTCGGGCCAAAACCCGGCCGGCTGCTGTTAGTCGCGCTGTGGGTGAGAAAACAGTCACATTCGCCCCTCAAGCTAAACCTCGACGAAAGCCAGTCTTTGACAGTGCCAGAGAATCGTCTCGCCATACAAAGGATCGTCGGAGTGCGTCAGGTAACACTTTCCGAAAAATGTGATTTTTTGGCACACCTAGACGGCCCATTTTATGGGCGTAAACCATGGATGCTTCCCTTTCAAAGGGTGGAGATGCGAACCGTTCAATACTTTACAACAGCTTTCTTCCCCTCGAAACCTAAAATTCAAGCATCAGGGAACTTCCCACTTCCCGTTTATTAGAGGCCTTGATGCTTGTGAGAAGCAGGATTAGGACATCCAAGGCAATACCATCAGTCGCAGAGACGTGCATTTCCGGCGGATATGACACGTGGTATCGCGATGCCTCACTTAAAATTACATCCTCTCTTCAGCTGAATGGAGAATGGGGAAATGCACTTTTGAACAGCGTCGGAGGCGATTGGCTCAAAATACTGAGAGCCCTTAGCTCGGTCCCCCAAGCAGGGGCCGGGGCCCGGTGGCATATGCATATTATCATGATCGAGGGTCTTTTAGCACCGCGATCCCGCTTGAGGGTCAAAACGGATACATTCTAATTTGTATATCTTTTCTCAAATTAGTTAGGAGAGCCTCTTATGCTTGCACTGAAAACATAATGCTGCGATTTCTTGCTGGTTTGTTCTGTGATAAATCAGATTATGACACGTTTGTCAAGCTATATCTCTGCTCTAATGCTGACCCCGAGAGTGATCATACCAATGCTATGTAGAAGAGGCTAGTTCAATAAGTCTGAAGAAAAGATAAAACTCTTATTCCAGAATCTAATAAAAGCAAAATTACATATGCAGTCCTACTAGTACCATCATGGGTGATTTGCTCAAACAATTGAATCGAGAGCTGTTCGCTTGATGAAGGGTATGTGGGCTATATTGCTATGTTGGTAGGGCAGGTTCAACAAGAACCCCTGATGGTGTAGTTGGCTATCACGTTCGGCTGTAAAGGGATTACTCATGCTACCGAAAGGTCGCCGGCTCGATTCCGGCTCGGGGGAGTTCAACCACATTTCTTTTTTTTTCATGATTTCGTTAGATTATCTCTGACCAGGAGGCATTGGTATTAACTACATCGCACTCTACAAAGCGTACCCTAGGTAAAAGCACATCCAAAGCCTTAATACGCGCTTTGAGGCCAGCCGACTGCTATCAACGCGGGTTACATTCCCTCTTCTAGCCATCGTTTCCCTTTGCCCGCATCCCCGCATGAAACCCCACACGGTATGCCAGTCTCCAACGGTTGCGTCATGGGGATGAGTGCATAAACACACACGCAAGATCCAACATTATTGAGCAGCTCTTCAGATATGATACCATCTCCCCTGTATTCAGCAATAGCCAGGATGTCAAGACCAACGGTTGAAAGGTTCTATCTACAATCAACTCTTCATTCCCCAAATAGCCCCCTGCCGGTTTTGTTGTATCGAGGAGTGCTACCCAAGCCCTACACTGAGGAGTCAACTTCGGACTTTCTACAGGCCAATGCCTGGGAGAAACGAGTAAGCCTTGCCCGGCCGCCAGCATTCCGACTTTTCCATGCTGACATGGGCGCGCGAATTAAGGGAACATGGGGTCATATTGGGACCCATCACTTTCACCCTAATACTCATGAGTGCTATGGTATGTCCTTATTCGGACGGTATTAAATGATTTTGATAGAAGGGGGGGGGGGGGGGGGGGGGGGGGTTGGTAAAAGGTTATTGCGTTACGGCTGAGCCTAGATCAAATGATACATATCCTGAAATTAGGGATATTCCAAGGTGCATCAACCTTGATCATCGGCCGTGGAAAATCCGATGACAAAGGTGGTATTTATATACCTGTCAACACCGGCGATGTAATCGTTCTTCCTGCCGGCACGACACACTGCTCGCTTGAGAGCAAAGGGGACTATAAATACGTCGGTGTCTACCCACAGGTAAAGCCGCTGGTCTTTTCCCAGGTTTTCAAGGACTGTCTTGACACATTGCTTTAGGATGCACCGCAATGGCGAAATGAGTATGGGGAAAATCCTGTGGACGTCAACGTGATAAAAGAAGAGATTTCAAGAGTGGAGATGCCAGGTCATGATCCGGTATATGGGAAAAACGGTCCCCTCGTTCATCTCTGGAACGAAGCAATCCAGACGCCCCTGAAATGTGGTGATTCGAAACTGTAGGGAGCCCTAAGCCCATGTATAGGTGAAGGGAGGTTTTGTGAGGCATGTGCTGTGATAT